TTTTTGTATGTGAAGTTTTTTAGTTTGTTTTTAAGCATTACGACACATTATAGGTCTAAAATATTTTTGTGCCCTGGGCCCCTGCATGCTATGAAGATGATACTGCCAGTAAAACATAAATTTAATTGATTTTGTTATTTAATCACCCAATGAATTGTTTTGTTATTAAATTTCCTTTCTAAATATTTTCCTTAAACACTGCCTGCTTTTTTAAAACTATTTAATAAAATATTAATACTTAAGAAAAATAATACATATAATTTATTAATGCCATACATTTTAAGTTCCGTTCTCGAATTAGACAGCATTCTTATGTCATATTAGCACTTTAATCTTACTGTGTGATTTTTTTTTATAATATTAGGTGCAAAAAATGATTAGAGGCCAGCAAAATTGTATCGCTACGGAATGTTGATGCTGACAGACTACACAACAGATGTAGATTGTCTTCAAGACATTTTAAAATTAAAGATTATGCATCAGAAATAATGCAGACTTATTCCCAGTGCAGTTCCAATGAACCAATATTGCATCTTTTTAATTTTATGTTATTTTATTTCATGAATTTGCTCAAATATTTATTTATTGTATAAAATGTATGCAATTTTATTTGTGTAATTTTTATTTTATTGAAAAGTATATTCTTAAAATATATAACCAAAAAGAATTTTTTTAGATAAGTTTAATAAAGATAAAACAAATTCTGCGAAAAGAGTCTCGTTTATTTTTTTAAAACTCTAAGTATATATAATTAAAAAATTTTTAAATATATATAGCGCATTTCTTATATATATACACACATGGAAAAATTAACAAATCGAAAAAGTTTTTTTTTCAAGGGGAAATGAATTCTACTCAATTTTTTAAAGTTTCAATGAATTTTTATTTTTTAATAAAAATTACTTTTGTTAAATAAGTATTTACTACTATAAAATAAATTATAATCCTGCTAAATTTGTGAACTGAAAAAAATTTAAAAGCAAAATCGAATCCGATTATAATTAAGGGAGAAAATCAAATGATCTGCACCGGTTCTTCAATCGCTCTTGACGGTAGCTTTCCTGCATTACACCTTCAGCGCCCAAGTTGGGGGAAAGATCGTTACGACTTAGCATTGATAGTATAGGAAGTTTCCCTTCTTTACGCAAAGCGTATAAGTTCTTTGCCTAAATAACAACAACAAAAAAACTATATCTGGTTGCCACGCAACCTAAAGTGAAATTTTAAAACAAATAAATCTAAAGAAAAATAAAGGTGGCGCTTCTATTAAATATACATACGTTAATGATTTAAAATCTTAAACAATATTTTCTTCCCTTTTTTTGCAACATTTCGCTCAAATGTTTTTTTTTGTTGTTGTTCTGAATATTTGTTTATTGTACGGGAGACTTTTTTAACTTCACCCGATTTTCCTTTGATCAGTTTATACTATTAAGCAAATCAACTATTTTAATCATCCACCATGTTCATATGACGCCACCATTGAGGGGATTTAATTATCGACTCTATCAACCTTCACATCTATCAGAAGGTACTTCAAGTTAAGTTATACTGGTTATCTTAGCATCAGCCCCACTAGGAGCTCTAACTAATTCATCTGAATGGAAATAAATCGCCGAAGCCCAACTGAAAGTTGGGGTTCAGTATCTTAATTAAAATGAAGTAGTGAGATTGAACAAACAAGTTTAAAAGAGAGAAGAGGTTTTGTGGCAGACTGCCTCGCCTCCCTTCGAAGTATTACCCCCGAGCTTCTCAGAAGCCACATAGCCTAAGAGAAATACATAATAAATGCGCAAAATTATTTACACTTCACATGTCTTATACTCTAGTGATTTGGTATTTAACATTTGTAGTGGTAGTTACGCTACAAAACAAAACAAATAGGAAAACTGATTAAATAATGAATGAAAATAAACTTAACAATTCGATTATGTAAAATTTGTTTCACGCTTATTAAAAAAAATACTTTCTTAACAGCAGTCGTAAGTATGATTTTAAAAAAAACTTTTTTACTTGATAAAAATGAAAGTAATAACTTACCTTTTCGCTTTTTATTTCTACTCCCATAAAATAAGATTATGTTTTCTTATAAAAATAAACATCGATATGATGAAGCAGATTTATCGAACCGACTTTTTACGAATTCTTGTTCCACTGTCGCGAGGATGTCGACTATGAATGTAAAAAGTGGTAAAAACTCGATTCATTTTTATTTATTTATTATATCTTTCTAATATTGCTATTAATTATTATTATTATTATAAATTATGATAAATTATTATTATTATAAATTATTATTATTTATTATTATAAATTATTATTATTTATTATTATAAATTATGATAAATTATTATTTATTATTATAAATTATGATAAATTATTATTATATTATTATTGATCTTACAATTAATTATTATTATTATAATTAATATTATAATTAATTATTAATTTATCGTATATTTAATTATTCAACCGTATCTACCACTATGACTTACATTTCAAATTATTCATATTTCAATCAAAATAAGTTGCTAATATTAATTTCTTTTAATAAATTTTTGAATTTTTTTAATAAGCACTTTTTTTGCATTTGTAGTCGCCCGTGGTGACCTTGCTGTCGTCATTTTCTTAAATCTTTTGATTTGAGTCAAATGCAATTCATTAAAGTAAAATAAATAAATTGTTTGCAGATTAACAGCAAATTAATAAACACTATTAGTAGTATATGGGGGGGGCTANATTAAAGTAATTGTTGGCAGATTAACAGCAAATTAACAAACACTATTAAATGGTTTAATGAAAGTAACACATGACGAGCAAAAACACAGCAGTGCTTTGTGCGGGGCGACGTCACACAAAGCCACGCCCCCTTTTCAGTCACGTGATTTTGTCCACCAATTACGCGATTTTCGATTGCTTTTAACTCTTAAAGTAGAAGTTTCGGTAGTAAAAGATCTCAAATTAATTAATTTTTTTTCGAGATTGCTATTATTAATATAACTGGGTTTTATTAGAGATGTCAAAGCTGGCATCACTTCCCGGGAAATTCATAGATGATTGCAATTAATGAGAATATGTTTCTATTGGGATCGGAATATGAATCGTCCAATAAGAATATTGATAACGTCAATAGGATATCTGCAAGGGACTTAGTGTGAATATCTCTCTCCTGATTGGTTGTTGAAACGTAGCTTTTGTTTGCGTTAGCAACTGTTCTTTCCATTCTGTTTCGAGTAAGTGAAGTCCTTCAAGTATCAATTGTCTTAAGTGACATATTTTATATTCTTTCACAAGGATTTCAATATTCTCAATATATATTTATTTCTTCACACTGACAGGCATGAAGCCATGTAGAGCACAAACAAACTATAATTGTGCATCGGAAGTTGTCAGATACACTAAACAAAAATATATCCAAATAACAATAAAATACATAAACGAATAATAAATTAGAGACGTGGACGAGAAAGAATTATATTTCAACGAATTTCATGAGCTGTATTGAATTAATATAGCGTTAATTAACGTTCTAACTTATGTGGAGAAACTTGGCTCAACTTTAACACGCTATTTTGCTTATAAACGAACAGCTGGCACTGAAGGTGACATGTGTGGGTGGTTGGTATTGCGATCTTCTTCTTCTTGAAATACAAGTACCCAATTGATTTATTTATTCCACTGAAGTGATATAGTTCAGCTTCTGGCTTGGATATCTCTATAGGTTTTGTAATAGTGTTAATAGATGTGTCGTATGATAACTAATCAGTGTTTTTTTTATTTATTAAGAAGATTTAATTCCGGTGTGATATATTGATAAAATCGTTCTTATTGCTGTCATTCTTTGTGATCACCTGAACATAGATGATTTTCTGTTGCAGAAGTACTACATTTCGGAAGAAGATTTTCCCAAGCAGAAGTTTCCACCTTACGCATCTGGATCTGCGTACATGAGTACAGGCAATACAGCCTCTCAGCTGTACGAAGCTTCCAAAACAGTGAAACCATTCCTCTCCCTCGAAGACATATTCGTGACAGGTCTTTGCGCCGAAGACATTGATGCCATGCTCTTCCACGAACCCACTTTCCTCTACAAGGATCCACCCAAACCTATTTCCTGGGACACCTACAGGTACACCTTTTATCTCATGTCTCTGAAAAAATAATAGTGTGGATGACAATTTTTAGGGGCAACCAAAAGCTTTCTATTGCAAATCTTGCACCAGTCTGTCTGAATACGTAATGAGAATGTCACCGACGTTCTTTTTTTTTCGTAGTTATCTTAAGCTTTAAGCCTTTAACAAAATACAAATATATATGATAATTTTTTATCATTCTTTGAAAGAAATACTTGCTCTCGAGAAAAGTATGAAAAGTTGAAGACTGAAAGAGTAAACCCGAAAAAAAAACTGTTAATTTATTATTCTAAACCATTTTCTCTTTCTATTCAACCATTTTATTTTCGATCATTGCATATTACCTACATCTGGATCAGAGACTCTGATCAAAACTGAAAAAAATATTTCAGTTCCATTTTCGAACGGAACATTCAACTGGCATTCATTCAGCAGAACATTCAATGGTTAGATAGCAACCAGCAACGTTTAGGGAAGAAGATGTAAGTTTGAGCTGCATTTAATCTGCAGAGTACCAGATAGTATTATAAAATACATAAATATCGATCGATGATTGGGCATCTCCTATATTTAGGTGTTCCCATGTTAAAGTATGAATTCTTCTTCTTTAACAACAAGGAAAAAAGGTGATGCAGTTATTGAGATGGAAGGAGGCAGGTTTTCTTTCTATCCAGGAAAGGAACTGACGCACAAGTGTCGAAAATAGTACGTGTTGGAAGAGAATTTAGAGGAAGATACGGGCCCACCCTGGGAATTCTCTCCAAATAGAATGGTGATTTTTCTTTGAATTACCAGTATTTTTGGTAGATATGAGTGCATTAAACCATTCATGTATTCTAGAAAAATTTCTCTTTTTTTTTCTTTATTAACAGAGAATAGGAATCTTATGGGAATTATGAAATATTCATCAGAAATAGCTCTAAATATTAAAGTGTTTTTCGAAGTGCGAAATCAAAATATTTTGCTAATTTTGAGACCACTTGAATAGTTTTAAAATTATTTCCTTTACGGACCAAAAAAAAATGAATAAATAAAATAAATAAATAAATTATCTTGCATCTAAATAAAATAGAAGATGTTCGCAAAGAGCCTTAAAACAAACACTGATATGTACTTAGATTGTAATCAGGAAAATTCTTAGCTTTCATTCAATTCCTAGATTTCTTATTCAGTCGATGAATGTAACAGAGAGCATAATTTAACGTTATTAAGTTATGTGTCGTATTTATGAGACATCTTAGTTGGATGAGCTTTAAAGAAAGATTTATTATTAAAAACTGGCTATTTGTTCTAAAACGTTTAAAGTTGTTTTGTCCTTTTTTAATCAACCAGACATTTTATGATTTCAGCACATATGCCACAGCCCACAGTGTAACGCCTGATGAAATCGAACAAATCTGGAATGAAATGACCAGAAGCTTATTCGGAAGTATATTCGACTCTTTCGGATTACCCAGCTTCATGTTCCCGGATCTCAACTTATTCGAATCCCTGGAAAGTGAAGACTCACACTTCGAGGATTTGTTCTTATTCCCCAACAGAAACAGTGGAAGAATTCTTTTCGATATAAACGACGACTTTTTTAACAAAATTCTTAACATACCAGGTAATCAGTTATCTTGCATTATTTTTGAAACTGAGTAGGTTGTATTCACATAATCCTAATCAGGAGAAACTCTGAGTAATTTTTGTCCGTATGAATGATTTTCGCCTTCCTATCTAAATTATTTAAAAGATTGACCTCAAACATGTTAATTAGTACAAATTATTAATTAATGTAACAGAACCGCGCATTCTCTTAACATACCTTTTTCGGACGTACTAGAATTTTGTAAAAGAAATATGGGAGTAAATGCAGTTTGAAAAATAGGGTTCTAATAGCCCATAGGCATATGGGCTGTCAAAAGTTTGGGGCCACTTTTTATCCGCTTGAATAGAATCAAGAAGTAGTATTTTTAAATTTTCATTCCTCAAAACCTGAGTTGAACCGGGTTCGAATCCCAGAGATGACGGGTTGATACGAATTCCGCATCTGGTTTACACCGACCACAGTGCTGACGTAAAATACTCTCAGTTTTCTTCCTCTCCATGTAACACAAATGCGGGTTAGTTCCAGAAAAAAAGTCCTCCGCGTAGGCAAATTTGTTCCAATACTTGATCCAGGAAATCCCTTGTCTTCTGGATCGAGGTGTGGTTTCTTTGAAAAGTTTATAAAATACCTGTTCACCTTCCCAAAAAATTCATAGCTATTACTGTTTCTTCTTTTTCCTGAACTCCTATTCGGACAAATGTTTAGTCCTGGTGAAATATCATTGAGTACTGCTTATTGCCCATTCAAACAAATGGGGGGAAATAAATGGATTAAGGTATGGTGCATGGAATAGTAATTTTTTGACAGTTCTGTCTGTCAATTAAACAGTATATTTCTTCGAAAAAAAGTTGGTTAGGGTATAAAGTTATTCCTTCTTCGTGATAGCAAAATAGAGTAAGTATAGTTTATCTGTAGAAAGAACTCCCCTTGCAACAAAGTCTGAGGTCGTTTGCTGCTATGGAAACAAGAAGCAGCACGTTTCAAAGAGGGGAGCTTCTCTTTCCTCTGATTCCCTTCCTCTGACTCGAGCCAAAACTTGTCCTAAATATTGACTTAACACACCTACTGGAATTAGGTAAGCCTCGTAACCATAGTCACCGCCACAGCAGCAGAAGAATGGCAAGGGGAGTTCCTTTCATAGACAGACTGTAGTACGGTCATTTATTGTTGGGCTAGTATACTACTGTAGCTACCGAATACCAATATATTGGAAAGTCGTGGAACATTGTAATGTTGCTTTGCAAATGTTTTCTAAACAAAAGCCACATTGTTTAACTGAACAACTGGTTTTCTACGTGAAAAAAGTACGAACGCTTGTGGCAAAGAAGGTAAGACGATCATAATTGTTGGGGGGTAGAATAGGTGAATAAAAGAGAGTTCCGCTGATTTGTAAAACTATTTGCAATGAAATGGTCTGACAAATTTTTTTTATGTGCTTTCCTTTGTCCAGAATTGAGTAGAAGTATCTAAAAAAATGAAATTCTTTAATGGGTTGCTGTTAAGGTTGTTGTCGTCGGTTATTAAGGCAGAAGAGATGCTATTGTTTTTGGTTTCCAGTGGCGCCATCTACGGCCAAGAATTCGACTTCTGCTACATCCATACGTCACACTCGTTTTATAGGGTGGACCCATTCACACATCCATCCATTCATTCACAGATCGTAAACCAGAGAACAATCCATCTCCGATTCAGTAACCTCAGAGGAATAATTTGTTATAGGAACATGGAGGACTTTATGACCCAACAAACTTAATGTACCCCAGTCACCATTTACTACACGGGGAATCTTCGGCCCGCTGGATTCGAACTCCCATTCTCACGAACGTGAGTCCTGCTCCCTGCCCACCAGGCTATCTCTCCATTCAATGGGTAAAATTTATAAATCTGATATGGGGATAATTACTATTGATGCAACATGAGAAACGTGGTACTGCAAACACACTTTCCATATTAACGCTTTCCTCCCATATCAGGAAACACAAATCTCATGGGTGATATTTTACCTTCAGTTGATTAAGAAAATCGTGAATATCATTGGTGTAACAAGTCACGAAGCAATTTTTTCTCATAAGGTTCACAGAGAGACAATTTTCTTCTATCTATCATTCGGGAGTTGGGGGGAGCAGAGAATGAAGATACAGTAGAACCTCGATTATCATAGCTTATTGGAAACCACTAATACCTCAGATATCGGAAATCTCGGTTAATAAAAACTGAGTATAAAAACTTGCCTTGCTCGCAAATTTTACATATCTTGAAATAAAAAACAACAGAACGTGTTTTAAATGATAAAAATAATCATCATCATAGTTAGCCAGACAGCGAAATGTGAGCCAATGCCTTCCTCTGAAGATTTCTCCACGACGACTTCCGATTTATCTTTGATCTCCAATTTTTTTCATTAATTACGAGAAAGTCAGACTCCACTGAGTCAGCCCATCTCAACCGCGGCCTTCCCCGCTTTCTTTTTCCAGTAGGTCTTAAAATCAGTATCTTTTTTATTGTGTTGTCGTCACTCATTCGAATCACGTGGCAATCCAATTCATTCTATTTATTTTTATGTATTTAATAATATCAGGTTGTTTATAAATCTTGTACAGTTCAAAGTTAAATCTCCTTCTCCAGTTATTGTTTTCATTTACACCACCAAGTATACCCCTCAAAATCTTTCTCTCAAAAATTGCGATACAATTTTCCTCCAGTTTTGTCATTGTCCAAGCTTCAGAGGCGTACGTCAAGACTGGGCGGACAAGAGTTTTGTAGATTAAGAACTTTGCTTTCCTAGAAGGAAACCTAAATTTAATAAATCTTCTCAGCCCCATAAACAGCCCTATTCGCCAAATAGAGTCAGTTTTTTTTATTTCAGGAGTAATTCTGTTGTCAATGGTAATGATTGATCCTAAGTAAGTAAAACTCCTCACTGTTTCAAATCTATAAGAATTTATTTCAAGATAGGGATCTGGGACTCTGTTTCTTGAGAACAACATATATTTTGCTTTATCTGCATTTATGACCAAGCCCATTTGCCTTGCAGCCAACTCAAGTGCAAGAAATGCCTCTTTCAGGGCAGGAAGGGAACGAGCAATTATATCAACATCATCAGCATATGCAAGTAATTGTACTGATCTAGTAAAAATATGACCACTGATATTGATGTCTGAATCACGAATAACTCTCTCAAGTGCAATATTAAAAAGCAGACAGGAGAGAGAATCTCCTTGTCGAACACCTGTGAATGTGTCAAGATTTTCTGACAGAGACCCCAGAAACTTAATCTTACACTTTGTATCTTTCAATGTAAGTCTTGTCAACTTAATGAGTTTTGAAGATATTTTGAAAGTATTCATTGCTTCAAAAAGATAATTTCTATTGATACTATCAAAAGCAGTCTTGAAATCAATAAAAAGATGATGTGTTTCAATGCTAAATTCCATTCTCTAAAATCTGACGGAGACAAAATATTAGATCTTTAGTTGATTTTCCAGCACGGAATCCACATTGATATCTTCCTATTTGTGAGTCAATGAATGGTAACAGCCTGAGATATAAAATTCTTGATAGAATTTTATAAGTTATGCAAAGAAGACTAATGCCACGATAGTTGGCACAGGTCATAGGATCTCCTTTCTTGTGAATTGGGCATAAAATGTTAATATTCCAATCCGTTGGTATAATCTCAGAGTGCCAGATGTCAGTAATAAGTTCAAATAAATTTCTCAATAAGGTGGGTTCACAATTTTTTAGTAGTTCTGCTGAAATGAGAACATGTCCCGAAGCCTTCTTATTCTTTAAGTTTTTATTTGCTGCCCTGATCTCCTCAATAGTTGGAGCCTCAACTTCGATGTCATTTATGAATTCAGGTGCAATTATTTCAACGTCCTCACAATTTTCATTAAGAAGTTCTTTATAGTGTTCATGCCATCTTTTTTTAATGTCGTGTTTATCACTAATTATTTCACCAACTTTGTTTTTGCATAGACTAGAGGTCTGTTTAAAGTCCAATCGACTGCGGTTGATTTTCCGATAGAATGCTCTGGATTCATTAATGGATTTTAGATGTTCAACATCTTTAAACAACTCTTCATCAAAGACCCTTTTCTTTTGCCTAAAGAGTTTCTTCTCCTCTTTTTTGCGTCTATGGTATTCCTCTGCACTATTTCTTGTGCGTGCTTGTGTCATATGTTTATATGCAACATTCTTTTTATCATTAGCAATGGCGCAATCAATATCATACCAATCCTTAAACTGTTTCTTAATTACTTTACCAATCACAGTATTGGCAGCGTAACAGATGCTGTCTTTTATACATTTCCATTTATTTTCCACAGTACCATCATAATTCTTTAAATTCAACTGTTCCTTTACTTTTTCGCAATATTCAAGCCTTTTCCTTTCATTTTTTTGTTTATCACAGTCATATTCTCTCAAAGTCTCTCCCTTAAACTTTTTTGCATTTGATAATCTTGATCTGTTTTGTTTGGCAATAATCAAGAAGTGATCTGAATCCGCATTTGCCCCAAGATAAGTTCTCACATCCATTAAGTTGGAGTAATGTCTTGCGTCAATTAGTACGTGATCAATTTGATTGACGCAAGTGCCACATGGGGCACGCCAGGTAGCTTTATGAATATTTTTATGTGGAAAGGACTTGTTATCTATAGTCATATTATGTGAAGCTGCAAAATCAATTCATTTGTGTCCATTATCATTGGTTGCATCATGTAAGCTAAATCCACCAGTTACAAACTTAAATTCCCTTTCTCTACCTACTTTGGCATTTAGATCTTCCAAAATAATTTTTACATCATATTTTGAACAACTGTAGTAAATTTTGTCTAAATTTTCATAGAAAATTTCCTTTTCTTCCTCTGTTTTATCTTCAGTTGGTGCATAAGAACAGATAATACTGAAATTAAAGAACTTTCCCTTAATTCTGAGTTTACACAATCTCGGAGAGATTGCCTCGAAATCCAAAATCAGGTGTCGTATTCTTTTGCTTACGATAAAGCCAGTGCCCTCAATGTGTTTTTTGGGGTGACAATTGTAAAAAACAGTATGATTCTTTTTATTCAATGCTCCATTGCCAATCCATCTAACCTTCTGAATGACAATCAAATCAATATTGTACTGTTCCATCTGTTCTAACAGCAAATGCAAAGCTTTGGCTCTATAGAGAGACAGAACGTTCCAGCTTCCAATTCTCCTATCCAAATTTCGTTTTCTAAATCGTTTCCATGAAGTCATTCGGGATTTTTCTTCCAAGGATTTCGTAACTAGAAATTTTTACAGGATAGAGGTGTCAACCCTATGCCCAACCCCCGACCTGGAGGACCAGTACCCCTGATATAATCCCCAGAGGCAGGGTACCCGGTTACACCCCCAGACACTGGGTACCCATTTTAGTCGCCTTTTACGACATGCATGAGCTGCATTGGGACCATTCTTTCACATCCGGTCACCACACGGGTGAAATGATAAAAATAAACATATATAAAGTTGTGTTTCACAGCTCAACAAATTTAAAAAGAAAATCAACTACTAGTAGTAGATTTCAAAAAGCAAATAGAATTTTTTTTAAACTATTTTTAAAATTAAACTAAAAGATGCATTTTCAAAAATAACACAAGTAATTATAGTATTTTTCAAATTTAATATACGTTAATATGTTAATTTTTCATTTATATTTCTGTTACCTTTCCTCGCAAAAGTACATTGTTACAAAAGTACGGAACGATAACACATTGCACCTGGTGTTGCAATAGGTGGAAACAAGACTTCACAGGGTGCAAATATTTCTTGGATGTTGAGCGCTTTCGGGAGCAGTGGAGTCGGACAGCGATCCAAAAAGTGTGATCTTTTCCAAGGCTTATTCAGAAATAGGAAGAAAAAAAAACAGACTTCGTTATAGACTTGGTTAATAGAAACTTCTGTTAATCGAGGTGCTACAATACGTTGTAAATACGGTTAGTGGTGTGAGACGTGAACAATGTATTAATATTTCAATAAATTAAAAGTAAAAGATTTTTGTCCTTTACCAAAGCTAATTTAAACAAATATATAACAGGTCTGGAATTAGTAATTCGCGAATACCTCAAATGTCAGAGCGTATGCCATAGATAATATGTTTTAATAGGGTGAATGAAGTTGTTTTATTATTATAATTATTATTTATTCTGTTTAGGTGGACAAAATTTGATGGATTCCATAAACAGTTCACGAATGAAGAGTAAAGAGAGGGGGTCGTCGAGAATTTCTCTTCTCGATTTTCCACAAACTGAAGTTTTTAATTTGACTTTCTTCGTCAGAAAGTAAGATACGAAACGATGACGTCACAGAAAGTCTCTGTGATAAGGACTATCGGATTATTGTGTGTCCATTCTCCAACAAACACATTTGTCTCGTGATCACTGGTATGAACAATGTATGGATATAAATATAATAAATGGGATTGTTGATAAATTATTTTAAATGCATCTTTTTCAACACGTTCACAGCTATGTTAGGAAAAAAAACACTTAGCCAATAACTTGCCTCCTCAAGATCATATTGTATAAATCCCAAACCGAAAGTCAGAGCTCTGGACACTATTTAGAAAGACAGAAATAAATAAATTAAAGTAAGCTTAATGTGTTTAATTTTGCTAACAGTTTAGAATTTCGCAATCAAGTGAATCTGTTACAAAATCAATGTAAAATCAAAACTCTCCAACTGGCCAATGAATGCCATAAAAAGTCATTATTTATACTCAGTGGATATTTCTTTCTGCTACCTACCACTTCAGTTTCAAAAAGAGACCTGTATTTCTGATCCCAATACAAATATTTATATTATTATTATATTACTAGGAGGCTCCGCCTCCTGCTCGCTAACGCTCGCCAACCCCCGAGAATTGCTACGCATTCCTATGTGGTTCACGCCGTGAACCATGGCTCGCTGCGCTCACTCGCCATTGAACACAATGTTCTAGCACAAAGACATANGAGGCTTTTTTTTGGTGCCGTGTAAGAGAAATATATATATAGATGGTAGACACACACAGAACTAGAGGACAAGATGAGGCGATTGAGCTGCTGCTTGTGGCCAGTTGTAACATTACAGTTGTGCGAACTGATTTAGGTATAGATAAAAGTAAATGGTTAAAACAGAAGAAATTATAGCATGATATTTGCATCCAAAAGCGTTTTTAGAGTACGTGATTTTAAAAAAATAATACACTTGTTAAAATCCAAAATTTTTATATTACATCGAGGAGAAAGGTGCTATTGTAAAAAGATTGGTATGTTCATTAATGTTTACAAACAGATAAACAAATAAGCTCGTAAGTTTGTAAAAAATATATATAAGCAATTCCAGTTATTTGCATACCCTCCAACACTCTATTTTCCAGCGTTATTTAACTAAATCAGACATTTTTTAAACAAATAGAATTTTCACAAAACTGTTGTTTGAGCTTAAGGTCATGGCCAACTGAATTGAATCTAGGTGCCTAAGGGCGCGCTTGCAGTCCTTTTACCTATTCATCCTGATGGATGAATGCAAATGGTGTCAAAAGGGTTATTCTTGATGACATGCTAAATGATGACTATTTGGTGATGAGGTGATAAAACCATAGAGTAGTCAATAATATAGTTTTATTTGAATTAAAAGTTCAACTTGTGCAAAAATAGGTATAATGAAGATGTGATTATGTTATGGATGCAGAGAATAGGATGGGTCAATGCAATAGTAAGTTTCCAATATATCTAATTCTCAGATTAAGACAAAATAACTCCTTAAACTTTACAGCAATGCAACATTCCTTGTCTTATCACCAGTGACATTCAAATGACATTCTTTCCTGATAATTTACGATTTGCAGATACAGTCACTCATAGAGATGCCTGATGTCGAGTTTCTTTTAATGTTGGAGAAACGATTTTGCCTATAGTAATTTTACCTCTCAAAATGCTCCAAGAAAAATGTTGCTTTGTTAAGACTTTTCCTGTAAGGAAACATGGGAAGTTGTAAATATGGGTGCAACATTGAACATTGTTTCATGCACAAAAAAAACAATGAATACAAAGTTTCTGAGGGAAACAAATAAGCGAAAGGTGGTTTCAGATGTGTCCGTGTTACACGAAGGATATGGGTAATTCTCACGAAATATGACAATTTACTGTCTCTTGCTCCAAGATCTAATACTATACTTCTAAACGAACTTTTTTTTTTTAATTTTAATAAATAGCATTGCTGTTAGCATTTTAAAATGACCTTGTACTACTAGCATCGACTGTTTTGTATATTTATAAAATTTAATCGAATTTCAAAATGTCATGTTTCTGGTATGTCACAAACAATATTTCCAATAACAACTAGCTTCAAAACTTCGCATAAATTTTTTCAATATCTAATTTTTTTTATCTCAACCGTTGTAAGCATTTCTAGAATATACGTATTGGGTAACATTTACGAAAACGTCGTTTAAAATAATTTTTTCTGTCAATAATTTGTTTGTCACATGAAATTCTGTCATTTTCCTGGCTACTTTTATTTAGTGAGTTATAACCAAAATAGATAGCGCCAGCAATCAATATTTTATGCTAATAGATTAATTAGATACCATCCTATCTGAACATGCCTTGTTGCATGCATAAATAACCAACTTTCTGGTTCAAAATCTATTAAAAAAATTTGAGTGTTTCAAAAAGGTGAGTAGGTTTTTATTTTGTCACATTCCTGTCTTCTTGAAATCATTAATAACATAAACTACATATATTTATCAGAGTTATTTCAAGAAATCCTGTTGTTTTCTGCGGAATGTAAACGGCTTAGGTTACATTCCGCATGTTATGTTAAATTACAGTAAAGTTAAATGCTATAAAATGGCAAATTTGTCATTATCCCACCTGTCATTTTCCTGGCTTATGAATGCCAAGACATTGACGTGTTACCAGAAATTTTTTTAAACAGTATACTCTAAAGAGGGAAAGCAAATATTAACCTAATACCAAGTTTATGTATGATTGTAATATGCTTGAATGTAATCAAAGTTATTTATTAATTTAATGATTGATTAATATATACAATTTTATTCTGTACATACCAGCAACAAAAACATTTTTGATTCTTTCTGCAGTGGAAAAAAAAATTAGTTTAAACAATTTATGGTTCATCTAACATAAATGTAACTAAATAAGTATACAAAAAAATTCGATAATTTTGAAGACTTATAATTTGAAGAAATTTTTTGGTCCGAATTGTCATGTTTCCAAAGAATCACCCATATAACAGAATCTCTTTGAATATCCTGTTGCACAATGCTTTTAAAGTATCCATCTAAAATGTTTATTTGTTTTTCAAATTCTATAAGTATATCAGCCACTTCAGATTCAAGTCACTTTTTGTTTCTTTCTAAAGGTAAATACAAAATTTACTTTTCAAATTTTAATATTAGTTTAGAAGTTTTATAATCTTATTGTTTTCTTTTTTTATCAGTATATGATTTGTTAACAATGTTTTAATTTTAGTTTAAAAAAATTTAAAGAACTTGAGATTGTTTTCCTTTTAATGAGCCTGAAATAATGTGATTTTGTTAGATTAGTATTGTTTTTTTTAATCAGTTATTAAATGAGTTCCTTTTTTCTCTATTCTATTGTGTCTTCTTTTAATTTTTGTGATTTAAAATATTTCCAATTTGAATTAAAATTAATAATCAATTATGTTATTTTTTATTAATATATGTTCTATTAAATGCTATGGGGGAACTTTTTAAATCATGGTATATTAGTATAATATAATAATAAATTATAATTATGCTATAATTTATTGAGTAAATTAATCATAACCTTAAATCATACATATATTTCACTTTTAATGAAATTACTTTGAAAATTTCTACGGGGGAGGGAAAAATTTTTAGGAGCTTAAACTTTGCCTAAAATTCATTTTTCATAACCTATTTAAATATGAAAAAAATAAAGCCAATCAAAAAATGCAACTATCAAATTTTCAGATTTATATCTGATTTTCAAAATAATGGCTATTAAAACACTAAACGTAATCATTACGAGGTAATCACTGACCCCGCCCTTGAGTTCAGGTAATCTCCTCTTATTCATAACACTAAACAATTAAGTAACTTTTAGAAAATTAAATAAATTCTTACAATGTTCATTTATAAGACTTAGTTATACCTAAATTAAAGGACCCGTGAAAATCTTGTAAAAAGAGCCTTTCGAGCTTATTTCGAAAAAGGTACTGATTTGAAAGAAGAAACAAATGTGAATCAGGCAAATGGGTGACATCACATTGTGAATTTATATGGATTCACTAGTTTATTACTTAAAAAATAATTTTTGTAAGAGAAGTATGAGCCGTGATTACTCAGGGGATAGTGTTCGCCTTCCACTGAGGTGAACCGGGTTCGAATCCCAGCGATGGCTGGTCGATACGAATTCCGCGTCCGGCTGTCACCGACCACAGTGCTGACGTAAAAATATCATCAGTAGCAGATGGGTTATGGGTCAGAGTTCCCTTGTCATTAGGCTAACCGCAAGAGATTTTCGCGAACTTTCTCTCCATGCAACGCAAATGGGGGTCAGTTCTATCAAAAAGTCCTTCAGGAAGGCAAATTTCTCCCAATTCTTGATCCAGACGATCTTTTCTTGTCTTCTGTTTTGGGTTTAATCTTACAAGGTTACGGAGTTGAACATTAGTAGTCGTAAATTCAAAATTGAGTCGGCTGTTGAACGATGGTTATAAAATTAAATAAAATAGAAAAATAGTGCACAAAATGGAAGACAGCTATAAGTGCCACCAAGTTCTCTCCTATTATTTGTCCTCTCCATGAAGGCAAATCTCTCCTGATACTTGATCCAGGAGTTCCCTTGTCTTCTGGATTGGGTTCAAAATTACAAGGCTACGGGCGTGAACATTAGTAGTCTTAAACCCAAATTTGGGTCAGCTGTTCAACGACAATTATAAAATAAAAATTAAAATATAAGAGAAGTATCAAAAACGTAAAAGCTATGTCCATTTTCTCATACACACATGTATGCTATTATTAACCCCATATATAAACTACGTGTAAAATAAAAAGCTTTCCGACGACACGTTATTTGTTTCAACAACAAATGCTGAATTCAAAATTCCTCCACTAGGTGAGAAAATTAACTACTATGGTCTAATGTTCAAGACTCTCCCTTGAAAAAAAAATAATAAAGAAGAAACTAAAAGAGAACTGGAATCGGAAAAAAAATGGTGTTTTTAATAAGAATCAACTTTTATACAAATAAGTGACCAGAAATGATTTCAACAATGTTTGGGATCCGTGACACTCGATGCTTCCATAAACTTTGGTCCCAGAACGTCTTCATAAGAATCTTCAAAGCGTGTCACCTTCAGTCCAGTGGCCGAATCTTTGAAGAGAAGGTCCGGTTGATCACCGGCACGGAACAGGCGATAGAAAGTGGAATCGTTGGCGAAATATTTCGAGGTGTCTGCCAAAAATCGAACCAGGATAAGTCTTCGTTTTCGCGACAGGTTCTGCTTATTGCTGACAACCTGAAAATAATTCATAACAAAAAATTAACAACAATAAAGCAATAAAAAAAACTTTCGAGAATTATAAACTGTTAAACAAAAATCAAATCTGGTGAAATTATTACTGATAAACAAGACATTTTAAAGCGATGGCATGAATATTTTGAAGAATTTCTTAATGAAAATTGGGAGGATATTCAAATAATTGCTCCTGAATTCAGAAACGGCATACAAGTTGAGGCTCCAACTATTGATGAGATCGGGGCTGCAATTAAAAACAGAATAAGAAGGCTTCGGGACACGATCTTATTTCATCAGAGCTACTAAAAAAATCGTGAACCTACCTTATTCAGGAATTTATTTGAACTTATGACTGACATCTGGCACTCTGAGATCATGCCAATGGATTGGAATATAAGCATTTTGTGTCCAATTCACAAGAAAGGAGATTATATAACCCGTGCCAACTATCGAGGCATTAGTCTTCTTTGAATAACTTATAAAATTCTATCTACAATTTTATTTCTCAAGCTGTTATCATTTGTTGACTCGCAAACAGGAAAATATCAATGTGGATTCCGCGCTGGAAAATCAACTAAAGATCAGATAGTTTATCTCCTTTAGATTTTAGAGAAGTCAATGGAATTTAGCATTGAAACACATCATCTTTTTATTGATTTCAAGACTGCTTTTAATAGTATCAATAGAAATTATATTTTTGAAACATTTTAAAATACCTTCAACACTCATTAAATTGAAGAAAATTACATTGAAAGATACAAAGTGTAAGTTTAAGTTTCTGGGGTCTCAGTCAGAAAATCTTGACACATTTACAGTTGTTCGACAGAGAGATTCTCCCTCCTGTCTTCCTTTTAATATTGCACTTGAGATAGCTATTCGTGATTGTGATTCAAACATCAATAGCAATGGTCACATTTTTACTAGATCAGTACAATTACTTGCATATTATGATGATGTTTATGTAATTGCTCGTTCCCTTCCTGCCTATTTCTTGCCCTTGAGGTGGCTGCAAGACAAATTGGCTTGGTCATAAATGTAGGTAAAACAAAATATATGTTGTTCTCAAGAAACAGAATCCCAGACCCCTGTCTTTAAATAGATTTTTATAGATTTAAAACAGTGAGGAATTTTACTTACTTACGATCAATAATTACTATTGACAACAGAATGACTCCTGAATTAAAAAACTGACTTAATCTGGTAAATAGGGCTGCCTATGGGCTGAGAAGATTTATTAAATCTAGTTTTCTTTCTAGAAAAACAAAGTTCCTAAATTACAAAATTCTTGTCCAACCAGTTTTGACATGCGCTTCTTAAGCTTGGACAGTGACAAAACTGGAGAAAAAATGCATCGCAATATTTAAGAGAAAGATTTTGTGGAGTATACTTGGTGGTGTAAATGAAAACAGTAACTGGAGCAAGATATTTAACTTTGAACTGTACAAGATTTATAAACAACCTGATATTATTAAATACATAAAAATAAATAGAAGGAATTGGATGACCCACGTGATTCGAATGAGTGATGACATTACAATAAAAAAGATACTGTTTTTTGGACCCACTGGAAAAAGAAAGCGGGGAAGGCCGCGGTTGAGATGGGCTGACTCAGTGGATTCTGATTTTCTGGCAATTAATGAAAAGAATTGAAGATCAAAGATAGATCGGAAGTCATTATGGAGAAATCTCCAGAGGCATTGACTCATATTGGGCTGCCTGGCCAACTATGATGAAACAAAAATCAAAAACTATCACGGGGATCACTCGGCAGACGACAAAAATGCAATTATATAGTTAAAATTTGACTTGCTGAAAGGGCCATTTCATTTTATGAAGTTAATTGGATAGCATTTTTCGAAATTCGAATTTGTTCGAAAGTTATTGTAATCTTAGATGCTCTTTTGAGAATTTTTAACAATTCTTTTTGCTTTGCATAATTTTATATGACATATTGTTTTGCTGCGCAAAATCTATAGGACGCAAAACTGTAAGATTAGATGGGATAAAAGAAATTTTTGCTTGTAAATCATGTTTTTTTCTCCAAAATTTAAATTTGTTCCAAAGTCATTACAAATTTAACTGCTTTACTCGAAAATTTCTTTGTAGTTTCTCAGAGAATTGACTATTTATCCATTGCTGTAAAAATATTTATGTTTCCCTCTCGAGGTCTTTATTTTATAGCCTCGATTTGATGTCTATCAAGAGTAACGTAACAGAAAAACTTAACAGAAGTGAGATAAAAACCGTTTCCCCTTTTGAATTCTTTTAAGTCTCGTGAACGAGTATTTTAGAAACAGAAATTGTCCTAAACTTTTCGGAGCGTATCCAATCTCTGTGTGATTAAATTAGAACCGAGTATCACAATACTTCATTTAAGATGTCTATAATTATAGGTACTTTGGTAAACAAAGTTTTAGTTTAAGTAGTAACGTCAGTGCAACTACGTATTCTCAACTTAAAAGAAAAATCAAACATAATTGAGCGTTTTCTTAGTAGTTGTCAGAAAATAATAAAAACAAATCATCAAAAATGTCTCTTATTTTACCTGGTGTGAAGGGACTTTTCCCAAATTGCACTGTTGATAGTTGATGACCGGAGCAGTTCCACCTCCGTCACATAGGAGCATGAAATCAGAAGAGAGAAGGTCCCTGGTCCAGGGCAATTGACTGTGCCCATCTGTATAATCAGGAACTGTGGTGTGCTTTACGAAGGCTACGTCCCCCTTCCCCTGGGAGAGACAACGCAGGGCTCCTGCATACCCACTGAACCGCTCTTTTGAATCACGTGAACACCTGAAACATCACACATAATATTTCTTCATTTGAACATTCAGAGATTAGGGGAAGGAGGAGGGGAAAGGTTACTCCAAAAAAATTAAGCAAAAAATGTAAAATAAAACAAATCAAGCATAAAATAGGGAATAAAAATTCTAGAAAATATTGAATAAAACACAAAATGTAATATTTAAAGCGGACAGCGAATTCATATGTAAAGTGCTCCAAAAAAAAAAGGACCGACCATCCTGAATAGCTTTTGATTTAATGATGGGATCTTTACGTTCTAGAACACGATCTTAATGGTTCTAAGGGGTAACCTGAATTACGCTAATAAATTACTATATGCTTATTAATTACTAATTATTAATTATACGACTTTTTAAACATTCGATTTCTCAGGAACTAATCGACCGATTTTGCTATAATTTTGTATTTTGTCATGTAAAAAAAAATACTTTTAAAATTATGTTACAAATTGTATATCTTGCAATTCGAAATTTTTCTGACTATTATTAAATAAAATAATAATAAATACTTACTAAACTTAATTTTTTGCCTGGAATTATCTTTAATCAAACGGATTTTGTGAGCAAAAATAATTCAATTAACTTAAACGTTCTCGAGATATGGCTAAATATGCGAAAAGTAAAATTAACATTTAAGGGGTCCAAACTTTGGATCGCTCACCTAACCAAACTCACCTAACTAAACTGAAAACCATTTTTCCTAGATTGCTGCTATTCCCCATATTTTGGTGATCAGAAATCCGAATCCTTGAAAAAAAGGTATGTTTATTCAGAGAAAGTACGTTTTTGTGACTGTTTTCGTAACTTGAAATATCGTTTGCATTAATTAATTAGCTTATTTAAGCTCAGCCTCTAGAATAAGTTAGCTAAGATTGATCAAAAATTAGAACCTTGTGGTATTTCATCAATTTGAACAAAACTATTTTTTCCATTTTAAAAATTATTATTTAAAAAACCCATTAATAATTAGCATTTTCCAATAATCAAAACCACAATGAAGGACATTTTTGTTATCATAGTAATCACTCAAAAGAACATATTTTAGTTCAGAAAGGGGAATGCTATTGAAAAGATCTTGGAAATCAAAAGTCACAATGGAATTAATTTTATTTTATTTTATAAATTCAAAATTAGATTAATTATTAGCCAAAATCCAAGAAAAACCTTAATAATTTTATTTAAGCAGTTAGAAAAAATGGTGCCAGATTTCAGGTTTATTTAAATAAGTACTAGACCCACAAGTGATTGTTCAAAATTTAATAGGAATTTTAGGAAATTTTTGACTGATAATTGAGCATGGAAATTGTATATTAATAATTTTAATTTCTTAATAAGTCTTAATAAGACCAAAATAAGTTTGTTTAAGTAACAAAGCAGACAGATTTTTACATTATTTTAAAGTAAAGAATTTTAAGTGACAAATTTAAAAAAAATTTGAACGAAATCAGTTGAATAGTTATCGAAAAATCAATTGTAAATAAACACTCAGAAACTATTTGGACTTTTCAGAAACTATTTTTCAGGATTCTGATTTCGCTGCCACGCATCTGAATGTCCCCTGACCTGGGGGGGGGGTCAGTGGGTGAGGGACCTGGGAAATGTTATTTCCTTATCTTGGGAAGGAAAGGAGTTAAAAAGAGAAGGACCCTCTCGTGAGAAATCATATTATGGACATGATAGAGTATAGAATGAAAGAGTGGCTCCAGTAGAACTCTGAACTTTTTTTAAAAATAGGCATAATTGTAAATAATATATAAATTAATAATACAGAAAGTAAAATAAATATATATATGTATACGATAGAGGTTTTCTCATTCTTCTGAGTGTACCAAATAACGAGCCAGGAGAAGAAAAAAAAAACCTTTTCACACTATTCGACCGATTTGGTTCAAATTTTTTGATTTGGCTATTTAAAATTTACTTTAAATTGATGCAAAACTGTGATGGTGTAAAAATAATTTATACACCTTTCAACTCAAAATTTTATCAATTATTTTTATGTAGATTAATAAAAAATAATTTATTAAAAAATATAATTTCAATGGAATTATCTAGGGTTACTAATGGCCATTAATGCCAAGCATGCATATAAAATTTTTAAATTTTGTGTATTTTTTTATATGCCCGTTTCAGGTGTTATTTTCATATTTGGCAATGCAAACTAGTTTGACTTTGAATTTCATTGACTCGTAGATTTTTAAAATAAATGTTGCCTCGTTTTTCCAATTTTAATTTTTTTCGGAAGGATTTTAGTTCACCGTGTTTAACGTTAATGCCTTGAAGGAGTCGCCTACTTTATCTTCCATAAATATTTACAAGAAGGAGAATACATAGAAAGTAAACACAATTTATATGCTAACAATTATATATTGATAATTTGAAATTATGAAGCAATTTATATATGTCTTCCTAAGGGCACTGATCTTGACCACCATCCCCAAGAGTTTGAGGATGGGAGCTTGAGTTTGGCATCATTAAATATATCTTTTGAAAATATTTACTTGTATTTTGAGACGTTTAATCATATGAGATTTTTTTATTGATTTTCCATATTTTTTGAACACCCTGTATCGTAGTAGGTTTGTATGTTACTGTGAATGACCATTATGGGTAGCTGTTGAAGGTGAATGTTGACATAGTCGCTTTGGTAAATGTCCGAAATATATACTAGGTCTAGCTAAGTGTCACTGCCAGACATACATTTGTCCGGTATGCCCTACATTAATGTTTTTGAAGTGAAACTTCTAATGCGACTTCCAACAAGGTTGCGTTAAACGTTTAACGCTACCATGGGAACGGGAGTAACGACCGCTCGTGTGTCGCTTTACGGAATGAGATGATGAAATTGCGTCAAAATCCACTTTCCACCTTGGATGAAGAACTATGTAAATTTATCAACTCGAAAAGAAACTTATCAATCGTAGCATTCAATTGTCAAAGTGTTCGTGCATACGCCAATGATTTGACGGATAGAGTTTTTAAAAAATGGAACATTTTAATGTTATCAGAAACGTTTATGGACGATAAGGAACCTCCTGTTCTATACCAAATTTTGATTTCATTGTAAGATTTCAACGTAACAAAATTCGGAATGCAGGGTTTGCTATCTATCACAATCAGAAAAATATATGTCATATTGTGACTCCACATTTAGATATAAAAGCTCCTTACTCAGGTATAAAACCCTGATGTGACAATTTCAACGTCAAAAAGGATTGGAGACATATGTGCTGTAGAGTGCATAGTCAACTACAGCGAAAATAATCCGAAGAAATTGATTTGATTCTATTTGCCATTTATATTTCACCAAATGCAGACATGAAGGATATTAAATTATTTATTGCAAAATCTTTATTGCCACAATCCACTGCAGGTTCATAAGCTCTGACAGACGTTACTGGTGAAGAAATTGATTATTGTGAGCTGCCTGTGATCCTTGCAGGAGATTTTAATGTGAATTTCTCGTTACCTGAAGCTGAAACATTATTAACCTTCCTTAAAGACAAATTTGGATTGGAAATGATAAATGGTAGGAATGATCCAACAACCAAAGGGGGAACTACCATTGATGCAGTTTTTGCAAGAAATATTGAAAAAATAGAACTCAAACATTTCGTATCTTACTTTAGTTATCATAATCCCATTGTAAATGTTATAGATTTGGATATTTCTCCACTCGAAAATGATAATTAAAAGATGCGATCAATTGTGAATTGTAAGCAATGTTAATAAAGTTTGTCTTGAAGAAACAATATGATTTCACTAAAAATCAATTTCTACCCCTTCCTATTTTCATTTCCACATTACGAAGTTTCACTTCTTCCGCGTGGAGGGACTCCACGCACTGATTTTATTTTAAGGCCAAGTGTCCAGTATGCATTTAACCGCTACTTCGAACACTGATGTTTCTCCTAATATATCATCAGCTGATATTAAAATATCGAATAAATATAATAACATCAACGATTAAATTAATATCAAATCGAATATAGCAAATATTTTGGACTTTCTCCAAAGCGATTTTTGCAATCGGTCCTTCACGGTAACATGTGGATTTACTTGTTGAGTCCCTCTTCATCTCCAATGCAGTGCTTGCAGAGATCTTCGCTTCGTGTCCTCTCTCTGTTGTATTTTGTATCATTGGCGCCGGGCACGCAACTTCCAGCTGAGAAGAAGTCGGCGATTGCAGTAGCATGATTGCAGTCTCCTGGTGGCAACAGTCCCTCCCCCAACAGATTTCCGATTGGCATGACCCATCCAGCCGTTCTTCCGATTCCAGTATGGCAGGAACGCAAACCTGAAAACAAAATTCTTCTTATATCTTACAAAAAATACACATCAGAATGCCTGATTGCACTCTATTTTTGCTAAATCTCTTTTATATAACATTTAAACCTTTATTTGCTGACGATACAATATATTTTTGTAAAAATAACTTTTTTGCTACCGTTTGGAAAATTATTTTAGAGATGTTTTTTATTTAATTTTAAACTTGTCCAATTTTGGGTTTACGAGTTTTCCTGCGTAGCCTTGTCATTTACACAACACTTGTAACACAACTCCGTAGCCTTGTCATTTCGAACCCCACCCAGAAGACAAGGAACTCCTGGATCAAATATTGGGAGAAATTTGTCTTCGTGAAAGACTTTTTGAGAAAATTTACCCGCATTTGCGTTGCATGGAGAGGAAAACCACGAAAACCTCTCATGGTTAGCCTAATGGCAAGGGGAGTCTAACCCATGAATATCCATCTACCACTGAGAATATTTTACGTCAGCACTGTGGTTGGTGCGAGACGGGTGCGAAATTCGTATCGACCAGCCATCGCTGGGATTCATACCCGGTTCACGTCATTGGAACGAGAGTGCTCTATCTTCTGAGCCCCCACGGTTCTTTTAGAGATTGTGTCAATAACATTGTCATAGATTAAAGTGATGTGGGCACCGTGCTTATATCTTGGAATTAGCAGAGATTTCAACTAGCTTTACTTTGAGACATTTTTTCCCCAATGGTAGCAAAATTTGTTTTATTGCCATATTTTTCATTTTTTTTTTTAAAAAATTGATTTAATGTGTATTTATTATCACGATATATAAGTAATTCAAACGGCTACTTAGTTATCGTGTTGTGAGTCTCTTAAAATGTTAGAAAATACACACAAAAAAAATCGTTTTCTATTTTCTACCACTTTAAGATAACTTTAAAAGAGTTCCTGTCTCAGGCCTGAAATTGAGATAAAAAGTGGTAGTAAAACTATTTCAATTACAACTGGTTTTCAGGAGGAGTAAAATAACATTTTACTATGTTCAATTACAAACTAGTTCATCCCTATTAATTTTTTTTTCTTTGGCAAGCATTCCTATTTACATGTTTCTGTAAAAGAAAAAGAAGAAAAAAAAATCTAGTTATTGCATAATTAACTCTCTCCCGTTACCAAACTAAATTGACTCTTTTTCGTTTCAGTATATCTACAAACTCACCCCTCTGCCCCCATTGAAATCAATGCAGCAAATCAACAGTTAAACTATGGGAGATAATTTTTTTGAAAAAAGAAAATCCTTTACGGCCCCCGCCAACTTTAGGGATGTTTAAATCAACTAACATGTTTAATACTAAAAGAAATCACCTATGCGGGCAATTTTTTCCTTAAACAAAGTTGTAATGAAATAAAATTTGAAAAAGAAGAAAGAAAACAGCGTGAAAAGTAAATTATTTTAGCTATTGCTGACTTTTACTCTCTTCAAAGAAGAATTAACATAGTGGTAGTGCAATGAAAATTGAATAGATTATGTAAGTAAATAAATTTATACTTAGCCCACTCTTCACAGAACGTAAAGACGTAACAATCTTCTATACGTACAGTGCGCGAAATAAAATAAAAAAACGGACCACCCGTAATAACTTATGATCCAATGATCGGATCTTCACGTTCTAATAATCATTCTTAATGATTCAAAGGGGTAACCTCAAATATGCTTATGAATGAGTTTAGACGATATTTTAAATTATGATATCTGATATAAAAGCGTACTTTCTCTGAATAAATATACCTTTTTTTCGACGGATTCAGATTTCTGACAACAACCAAAATATAGAGGGTAGCCACAATCTGGGAAATAGCGTCCCAATAGTTTTAAAAATTCGACCACTCAGGAATAATAATTTTGTATTTTGCCTTATAAAATTATACTCTTTAAAATTGTATGCTTTAAAATACAAAATTTTTTTTGACTTATATTAAATAAAATAATAAAAAATGATTACTATTTATTAAAATTTATTTTTTACATCTTTGGATGAATGAATCTTATAGTTGTGCGTCAAAATGTTTCAATTCGCTTTAAATGTTCTCGAGCTATTGCGAAATATACAAAAAGTAAAATTAACATTGACATAAGAAATGACAAACGGCTAACATTATTAATATTAACAAGTGTTTTATTTATTTTTGTTTAAAAATTTCAATGTTTGAAAAATGCTTCTGGTCAGTTGCAATATTTGCTCTATATTATAAAGTGTGTTCACAATAGTATGAAAGTTTTTCCATTTTTGTCTTAAAATATGCATCCAAATTCCATCAATTAAAAGCAGCTAGGTGATGTCATCTTAAAATTTCTGTAGCAGTTGCCTGTTGTTGTGGCACACACACCAACTCATACTTTTGATTCTTTACTTAACTGAACTATCTACCAAATCTCTCAGATTGCAGACGACATGCAGCTTTCGCCATGTTTCGAAGGTTCGAAATAACGTTTCTTATTTAGAGAAAGTTAGTGCACTATCTCATTGGGCTACTTACTTTAATTTCTCATTAGTAGTTTGAGACAGTATATGGAGATCTTTGAAACATGAAAAAGCTATAGAATCTTAGAAGTAATTTTAAAAAAATTAGGAATTCATAAAACGAATAATTTATTCAATATAAAAATATCATTACATTTTATTATTAGTAAATTTAAGTAAATTTAAGTAATATATAAATATAAGTAATATATAAATATAAGTAATATATAAATATAAGTAATATATAATTAGTAAATTTAAGTAATATTTATTTTCCAATGATTTAGTTGCTTAATTTAAAAAATCAACGAAGTCTACAGATTTTCTTACTTTTAGAAGTATTGTTCTATTAACCTAAGTGTTTCGATAACAAACATGAATGTTGTTATTGTTACTCATCCCCCTGGTGTAGGAAAACCTACTTCTCGTCTCCTGAGAACATCGAAAATCGTCTCCTGTTGCCTCGTGGAGGCTCCTCGACATTTAAAAAGGCGAGCAGGACTATCTGGAAGGGAGTAAAAATCTTTTCCCTATTCTGAAATTTCAAGTGAATACTTCTGAATGTCGTCAATGTAGAGTCCTGGGGCATAACAGAGGAGAGACCAGTGGAAGGTGGCAAGTTGAAAGTAAATTACTTTTGTGGAGCGAGTGGATTTCCGAAGGAGTTAACAGAGTTGGCGATCGGAAAATCACAACCATTTCTACAAACATGTACGTATGAGTTTAAAATATACCTCTCAATTCCGACAGTTTTGTGACATCAGAAGCAGATCGTATCACAGCAACTGAGTAGTACGTAGCATCAGATCCATTGTAGAGTTCTGATGCAATGGGTTGCAAGTCAAAATATCTGAAATAGTGCCAGACAAGATTAATGTAGAAGCTTTGTTTAAAAGAAAGGGAAGGCTTTTTTTCAAAAAAAAAATAAGAAATCATTTTTCAAGCATACTCTGCTCTTAAGTCAACCTATGAAAAATGAATTTTTTAAATATATATTTTTCTTTCCACATTTATTATAGATTTAAGGAAAAGAGCTTAGTAGATGACACCGGCCGATGCAGAACTTTTGAAATTATGCATATGTAGTAGTAGACAACACGCTTTTAGTTCTAATTTTTTAAAATATTAATGCATTACATTTGTTATAATGAAAAAAAATTTTTTTAAAAACTACCGAAATTTCGTAGTTGTTGGAGGATATGTACTACACGGTTTGATCAAAATTATAGAAACACTTCCATGAAAACAACCCTTCTTTTAGCAAAATGGTGCCATTTGAACGATCATACTTAAAGCTTTTAGAAATGATGTCATTTATACTCATACAAAATTTAGATCGACCAGAATGAGGAGAGGAATTTAATAACTTTTTTTCTAGTATGAATACCAGCAATTTTAAAATCACTATATAAGATCGCTTACTTAGATTAGAATGCTTTTTTTTTTATCAATTATAGTGATATTAAAGAAAAGAATCTTTTAGCTTCATACGCTCATTTTGGTCGATTCAAATTTTACATGGGTAAAAATATCACCGTTCTAAAAGCTACAAGCATGATTTTTTATAGTGTGCCAACATTTTTGCGATCTTTCAAAATATTTACTGAAAGAAAGATTGTGTACTTAGAGTTAGCATAAAAAGTGCTTTCATCATTTTGCCCAAACGTTGGAATGAATAGAAATATCTCCTGTCAATAAATATGCATTTTAGAGTTACCACAATCTTTTATAAAGGTTTTACTACCCTTTATGCAAAATGTACTCTTACGAATTGAACTTTAGGATAAGAAATATGTCTGAGTGAGAACTCTGTCTAAATATGCTTCTAAGCATTGCAATATCGCAAAAAAAGAAATACCTTACAAGCTATGACGTCGATTTACTGCTACTATTATAAGACCAGTGGAAATTGTATTGTACCTTTTGGTGCGTAACAGCTACTAGTGATGAGAATTTCAATTTCAAGTGAATATAATTTATTCTAAAAATATCTGTGTTTTTCAAAAGGTAAGAAATAGATTGAGTAGAAACTTTTAATTATAACCGTTGAGAAATATTGTTTAAAACTCGTTTTTGAATAAAACTAACTTATTTTTGCAACAAGTAATTTATACCTTCCAGCTCTGTAAACATCTCCACCGTCGAGGACAAGCAAATGAGCGTTGCCTTCCTTCACCAATTGCATGCAAGCAGCCTTAGATGTGGTCTTCACGCAGTTCAGTTCGGGCCAGAGACCTTTTCCTTTGGCAGATCTCGAATAATCCTGGCATCTGGTCAATTCCTCTTCAGAAGTAACACAGAAGGAGACATCATTCTGTTTATTGTCACATCCGTGTCGAGGCTTCCGAATTGTATGGAGGAAATCTCCTGAAAATAGCATTATGATGAACACTTCTGTCAAAATGACATCACGTTAAAAACTATCATTCAGACTCAGTACATCACCGAAATTTTTTATCTCCTAATCGGAGAATAAACTTAAATCCTGCTCTTACTCTTTTCATTTTTATTTCGTGTTAATATTTAACAATCAAAAAGAGAAAATAATTTGCATCTAACCTAAATAGTCAACATAATTTCTCTTCTCGGGTTGAGTGGGTCGTAAAGTTGTGACTTTTGAATGAGACAGAAAAGTCTTGTGGTACCAATCGGGGAGTCGACCTTTTGGAATAGAAAACCGGGATTGGGTCTGTAAAAGAATTCCAACTAAACGTTCCTCTTCTTCTGGATCATCTGAAAAATAAAGAAACATAGTGAGAGAACACATTTCATTCATGCTAGGGCTTAATTCATATGTGTCTAAGTAACAGCATTACTATTATGCATATAATATCATTCATTACTATTATTTATTATGCATACTTTTTTTCTGCGGAAAATACGATGTGTTAGCAGCGAAGGAAGATGCTGTATTTTCCCCTAGAATTACGAAATTATTGATCGAGGACAGAGTATTCGAAAACTCAAACTCAGGAGTAGTTAAAGGCATTAAAGAGACTTCACTCGACCGAACTACACTGTCGATGAGGTATTCTACATAATGCTATCCTTATTTAATTTTCATAACTAAACTGATGTTGTATATTTACTTTGCTCGGAGGTATCTTTCGGTACATGCACAATACAAGACCATCACGCAGTCAGAATCAGTGCAGGCTTTATTTTGGCCCCTCTATTACTTTTTTCGCACAAAATGTTACTCATACAATTCTGGAATCAGTAGTTTCTGAAGGTTATTTAAATGATAAACAGTTGTCTGTTTTTATATTTTTGATAACTATATTTGATTTTGAGCAATTAACGTTAAAAGAATTTTTTTGCATCATTCAAATCGGTATTCATCTGCTTAAACAGGAGTAAAAGTAAATTTTAGAAAACTGAGAGCTAACAAAAGTTTAGTTTTAAATGACTAACTCAAAACCACACATCCCATCACTTGATTGCTTTACAGCTTTGAAGACAAATCCATACAAATTCTAAAAATTATCAAGCGCTATTTTTCCTAGTATAATAAAACCTTTATTTTCCGCTCTTTTTAAAAAGGTATTCTGTTATCGAATATACTATATCATAAAATGTTTTTTAAGCAAGAAAAATCAAGAAAATACAAATTAAAAATTTAAACTAAATTTCAAGGTGGCGAGGGCAAAGTTCACTTTTAAGACGATGCATATTTTTTTAAAGAACATGGGATCGCAATCTCTGTTGAGAAGGTGAAAATTCCACAAAGCGTAAAAGGCACGCGAAATACCCTTCGNTTTTGGATTAATATTGTGCTTTTGATGTGATCATTCCAGGTGAGTTTGCTATTGATTATAAGGCCAAGATAATTTGCTTTTTTAACTATTGGTATTGGTATGTTGAACATTTTTGGTTGAAGTTGTGGAAGTATTTTAATTCTTCTTTTTTGTATAATTAATATTTGTGATTTTCCTGACATATCTGAAAAAAGTTGTGAATTATATAAACCTACGAATTGTTTAGAAATAGTGGTGGATAAAATCCTAGTAAATTGAATTTATTAAACCAAGAATCACAATAATTAAGTAAATTTTGAATAAATTTTCTGCAATTCCATGAAAGAATGTAAATTTTCTAGTTCTATATCATGTTATACAGCTGTTTTTCGCGGCCTATGTGAAAGGTCAGTGTCAGCCACCGGTGGTTGACACGGCCTAAATGTAATTTCAGTGTCAGCCACCGGTCGTTGACGCGGCCTAAATGGAAAGTCCAGTGTCAGCCACCAATGGCTGACGCGACGTTCAACGTGTTAAGAGGCGATGTGGGAACAAGCTTGATATTCAGGGTTGTTTTATTGTTGTGAATTGTTCAAATTTACATGGAATTATACCATTCGAATGAGTTTTTTGAAATTTATAAATTTTATGATCCTAAGAAAAATGTTTAAGAAAATTTATATCTCAACATAAATAAAGTATCGGGTATACTACGTTTTGAATGTCATCCTTTATTTGGCTATAATCGTGTAAAATATCTCTGCTTGTTATTTTTTGGGTAGCATCATAGAATACTTCTGGGGTCTTTTCCAAATTCATTTATTATTTGTTTCGTTAAAGGTAGCCCAGAAGTCTTACGATAATTTTTAACCCCCAGCGTGATTCGTGCGTAGCTTAACGCGGTCATCGGTCCAGTAGTCGGTGCTAGTAGTTAGTTAATCAGTACTAGTAGTTAAACAGTGTGAAAAAAGGAGAAGAATCTAAAACATTTTAAATTTCTGCTGTTGGGTCTTATTTCCAATAACACCATGCGTCTGCATGCCGTGGCTCAATAGCCAAGTTTCTAGCTTCTGATTGGAGGTCTTCTATTCCGCAAACTTAGACCCAGACAGTTCATTTTCACGTGTCTGAGTGGGGATTACTCCTCAAGATCTAGCTGCAAGCTAGACCATGTCCAGGAGGTCGTAAATCCTTAAAAAGTCATATACAATAAGCTTATTTAAGTATTTTAAAGAGTCACCTCTATTTATTAGAGGAAATTTTCTAATATAAGAAAAATATTATATTTTTCGATATTTTGGAGAAAGTCGTGGTCGTTCAGGGGACACAGCACTCGCCTCCCAATGAACTGACCCGTGTTCAAACCTCAGCGTTAGTGGGTCGATGCGATTTCCGCACCTGACTCGCATGGACAACAGTGCTGATGTAAAATATCCTCAATAGTTGACGGATCATGGATTAGAGTTCCCTTGACGTCAAGCTAATCATAGGAGTTTACGTAATTTCTCCTCTCTTTGTAACGCAAATGCGGGTGTGTCTCATCAAAAATTTCTCCATGAAGGCAAATTTCTCTGAAAATTTGATATAGGAGTTCTCTTGTCAGCTGGGTTGGGTTCAAAATTACTAGGTAACGGAGTTGAACATTGGTAGTCGTAAACTCAAAAATTAGGTCGGCTGTTCAACGACGTCGATAAAATTAAAAAAAAAAACTTTGGGTCGTTTAGAGAAGTTATTTATTTATTTATTTACTACTACTATTATTATTATTATTTGACAAGTCTTAAGCTTATAGCAACCGTGAGAGGGAAAATTCCGTGTCGATTCTTGTAAAATGCCAATTTCGGTTAAAATTAGTTCTTTCGTTTATTTAATTGTTACAGAATTTTAATAGAATTTTAATTTAATTGTTACAAACTATGACTTCGATTTACTGCTACTATTCTAAGACCCGTGGTAATTGTATTGTACCTTTTGGTGCGTAACAGCTACTAGTGATGAGAATTTCAATTTCAAGTGAATATAATTTATTCTAAAAGGCACACCTTGAAATTTAAACTATATTTCAAGGTGGCGAGGGCAAAGTTCACTTTTGAGACGATGCATATTTTTTTAAAGAACATGGGATCGCAATCTCTGTTGAGAAGGTGAAAATTCCACAAAGCGTAAAAGGCACGCAAAATACCCTTCGAATGGCCTCCGCTTCCCCCGATTCTCAATCCGTGTGACTTTTTCGTATGGAGTCAACTTAAACCACTAGTTTATGCAAAGTCTGTGGACACACCAAAGAATCTCATAGCGTGGATTGTCATCGCCTCCGTAGACATCAAAAGCACACGTGACCGGGAATCGTTTTTGCGTCGTTATAGACTGTGTTTTCGAACAACTTTTGTGTTGCTTATTCCGTCGAAACTTACTTTTCCCGAATGTCTTTTCATCCTATTGATGCCTCTGAATTGGTATTTAGCATAACTTAAATCTTCGTACATTCGGAACTTAACACAGTGTACTTAGCACAAATTACCAAAAACCCAACCAACCGTAAAACATATTAATTCATTTCTTTAAACTTATTTAAGAGAAATAAAAACATTTGTGTATTTTGATTCGCGAGATTCATGCATTAAAGCTAGCTTAGACATCATCAACTTAGCGCTCAAAGTAGGACCGGGATAGCTTGGTTGGCAGGGCATTGCACTAAATGTTTGTGAGAACGAGAGTTCGAATCCAGCCGGCCAAAGACTCCCCGTGTAGTAAATGGTGACTGGTGCTCGTTAAATCTGTCCGGTCACAAAGTCCTCATCCATGTTCCCATAACAAATTATACCGCGGGGGTACTGAATTGGAGACGGATCGTTCTCTAGTTCAGGTCAAAATTACGATCCGTGTATGAATGAATGGAAGTATGAATTTGTCTGCCCTATTAACGGTTGTGACATATGGGTGAGTTCGAAGTCGAATTATTGGCCATAGATGTGGCCACTGAAAAACAAGAACAATCGCATCCCTAGCCTTAACGGTCTCCGTTAACAACAACATTAGCAAAACTTATTTTTTACATCACTCACAAGGAGAACTCGAGCAAAGAGTCTAAGTCTCGTTTTTAAAGTACTTTAAGTGGTAGATATAAAGCAATGAAGATAAACAAAATTTATTTAAATTTGCCAGCACTTAAGAACTTCACCCCAAGAGTTATCTATTTATTTTTTACTACACCTGGTTCATGATTTTTATATGGCCATGATATTTATATAGTACCTTTATTTCGCAAGAAAGTTTGAAGTAGGCAAATTTTCTTGCAAAATAAAAGTACTATGCTGACAAACTGTACAAAACAAGAAACCTCTTCCCGCACCTCTAAACTAAATTATACAGTCGACCCTCGTCTAAGGTAGGAAACCAAGATATAAATTGTCTTTTAGACAGATCAAACGAACTTAGACGACTGGAAATGGCCTCTTCTCGTTTATTTACCAGACATGGTGGCATTCTTATCGAGGTTGACCCTTGGCCACAAAAAAAGACATTCTTACCTAAGTTGACCCCCAAAAAACGAGCTAATGGTCACCTATCATCTGTCCATAGAGATGCAAAATCATCGAACTATTATTAAGTGAGAGGACGTATATGGCGGTTATCTCAAGAACTTTTCAATGTTATTTGTGATATTGTTTCCTTGTTTAAACTTTTCTTGTTCATGGCCAAATCCATTGGAAATAAAATTAAAAAATTATTGCAGCACATTCATTGGGAGGCTTGAATGCTCATTGCATCTGTTTATCACGATTCAATTTTTTTTTTCAGCGGATGAGCAAGATTACACGACTTCTAACAAAAATGTAAATTTATAACTTGACAATGGGTTAGAGTATCGCAGGTTGCTTAAATTCATACTAACATAATATTGATAAGTATCTTATAAATATTTTACAATATTTTTTTTAAACTATCGTTTGTTACCTGTTCGAGTAAGGAATGCGTTGGTGGGACGTGTTCCCCATATGCATGGTTGAGCATCCCGCACACTTTTCCTTCCTCCCTCGAAGCATAGCAGTTCTGCCTTTTCTTCGAAATCAGGATTTTTATCCAGAAATTCCCTATGAAAATATAAATCAAGGAATCATTCATTTCATACAATGAACTGTTTAATACTAATCGTATTCTTATTAAGACGTCTATGCTCATAGGAATACGATTATGATTCTATAGTGATGAGCAATTAGATTGAGAATTGAATTACAATACTCCTTATAATGGCAGGAGAATAGATCGAGAAAAGAATTACAATACTCCCTATATGAATGACGGGAGAATAGATCGAGAATAGAATTACACTATTCCCCATAATGAATGACAGGAGAATAAATCGAGAATAGAATTACAATACTCTCTATAATAAATGACGGGAGAATAGATCGAGAATAGAATAACAATACTCTCTATGATGACGAGTGAATAGATTGAGAATAAAATTACAAGACTTCCTATAATGGTTAGTGAGTTGATTAAGCGGTCCACCCTACAATTCCAAATTACAACCTACAGAAAGATGGGTTTTCTCCCTCTCTCTCTCTCGTTTTTTTNGAATACTGTACGTTACGTTATCTTAGAATAAATGTATTGAAGATTATCAACTAATAATAATAGGAAATATCAAAGAAAACAATATATTTATTCTAAGATAACGTAACGTACAGTATTCCAAAACAAAGGTATTCCTTTTTACATAAACAAAAATAAACTTTTTTCAAAATTCAGTTATTCTGCAGTTTGCTTATGCGTGATTATCTTCAATAATCAACTAATAATAATAAGAAATATCAATGAAAACAAGATATTTATTCTAAGATAACGTAACGTACAGTATTCCAAAACAAAGGTATTCCTTTCTACATAACCAAAAATAAACATTGTTCAAAATTCAGTTATTCTGCAGTTTGCTTATGCGTACCGCAACATGGCTAAATCATTTCATATTTAGAATAGATTTGGAAGGAAAAGTTATCAGGGGAAAAAAACAGGGTAATACCTCGTAAACTCCAAAAAATAATAATAAATTAATTAATAAAAATTCATGTAAAGTTGAAGGACATTCTTCGGTATTCCTGTTTGTTAGGAAAGGACCTATATTAAGGTGAATGGAAATACCGGTCAATGACCCTTAACCTTCAAAAACCATTAGTGACAGGAATGTCGAGCAATGACCCTTAACCTTTCAAAAAACATCATATAAATGGTCCATGACCAGGTATGATCTCGGTTATTTCAATCAATCAAATAAAATAATGCTTTTTCAACTAAGCAAATAGCAAAAGTTACTTGAGTGCAGAAATTTTTGTAAAAGCTACATCGGCCGCTCCTTCTGAGATACACTTCATCACCCCTTCGTATCCAGCATATGCATCATCTCCTGAGCACGAAGAAGAATCTTTGCACCTACTGCACAAGTTCGGATATCTGGATTCTGTATAAATGACATAGATTAGAGCTCTCAAATGATCCGCATAACACTTACATTGATCAAACACCAGACCTCATTCAGCTTTCGCAAAATTAGTCAAAACGTGTTTTTATAATTCGTTATGCGTTATTCATACGAAGTTGAAAATTTTTTTTAGAGAGTTTTCTGGTTTAACTTGGAAAACAGCTAGATTTAAATGTTCTATTTTACAGGCTCTAAATAAAACAAAACTCCAAAAGGTTGGCAGTTTCTTTTTTATTTTAAATGCGTTAAAGCGTATGTAACCTCTTTAAGCTAACTACTACTTTAAAATTCGTGAGAACCATGATACAAAGCTACATTGGAGTCTACTAGCGCCTAGCACAATATAATCTTTTTTTTTGTAAAGGATTTAGTTTTTAAAATTGATAATAAGTAATAATTTTTTTTTTCATTACCAGAATTCAGGAGAGACGAGTGATTTCCAGTTACCAAAATGCAGTTTTTTTCAAAAATATCCCTACCAAATTAGTACTAAAGTATATAAAATAAAGAGCTACTTTCATTTCTTTCAGCAGTTGTGATTTTTTGCTGACTTTTTTATAAAATCTTATTTTTTCCTCCTTTCTTTTTCTCCTGTTCTTCACGAGTACTAATTTGTTCTAAATAATGAATCATATTTTTACACTTTTAACTTATTTAATTATTTTCTACTTTTCTCTAATATTATTACTTACATCATTTTAAGCTAAATTCTATGGCATTGTATGTTTCAGTTGAGCCCCGATGGCTGAGTGGTAAAAGCACTAAACTGATAATAGGAAGAACTAGTGTTCGATCCCCATTGGGGGCTCGAAGCTTAAGCCTAGTTTCAGATGATCCAGCTTATCTGGGAAGTAAAGGTGATCTGTGAGCAAAGGGGACCATCATGCCGCAGGTCACCAGATTGTGGAGTCTTAATATACGTGCACCTCCTGGCCTGCAATGGGCTGTTGCAGGAAAGATTTAATTTTTATTTCTCAGTCACAAGAACAACAATCGTCCTCCTCATAAAGTATCTTTTCTCATATTTGGTATTTTATTTTGTTTATGTGTTGAATGAAAATCCACTCAATAATGAGGACTGGACAATCATTTCCATTCAACGAAGAAAAAATAAAAACATCTTACTGAGTTTTTTCTCTACGACGGGATCGGATGACCATTGTCCAGGCACACAGCTTCCATCGAAGAACCTCTGGACAGCTGCCAACTCTCCCTCTTCGCAGTCTGGGGCCATTGTGTGAGATTGCAGCAGTCTCCCCACTGGTATCTGCCATCCGACAGTCCGCCCCAATCCCGTGTGACAGGAGGACTTGTTCTGGAGATCGTCCACTGACTCAATGTCAGATTGTTTTCTCACCACAGCAACCCCTTCATATCTGTGGGGCACTGAAAGAAAGATTAAATTATTATTTCTTTTTATACAAATGAAAATACTACAAAAATTAGATTAGTAAAAGCATATATCCCTTATTTCATTCCTAAATGAGCCTTCCTTCCTCCTCCTATTTTTCTAAGATATTGAAGTTTTCGATTTCACAAAATTGATTAAAAATGATCTCCGCTGTTTTTAAGAACTGATAATCAATCGACACTGTTATTAGAAGCTGTCTTCGTTAGTTTCATTTGTTTGTACCTTACGAGACCCATCAGACTTTCCCAAGTAAACTGATGGTATAAAAATCCATTTTAACATCGCATTCTCTTAAACTTCTATTCGGATGATAGGCAGCACTTGCAAAACAGTTGTTGCTGTTGTTGTAGTTAATTTACGTCGCACTAGAGCTGCACAATGGGCTATTGGCGACGGTCTGGGAAACACCCCTGAGGATGATCCGAAGACATGCCATCATCATTTTGATCCTCTGCAGAGGGGGTGGCACCCCCGCTTCGGTAACCCGACGATCTGCTCGCGAAGTCGAGCACTTAACGGTAGAACAGTTTAACGAGGACCAATACCACACACCCTCGGTCCCTACGCAGACTGATCCAAGTGGTCACCCACCCGCACACTGACCGTAGCCAGTGATGCTTGACTTCGGGGATTTACTGGGAACCGTGTCTTAACGATCAGTCCACTGCGGGACGCACTTTCAAAACAGTCAAGTCGGCATAGCTTTTGAGGAAATCACATGTTTGTGAAGTTTTATTCATTCTTTCGTAAGGAGAATAACTGAAAAAGTGCGAATGAAAAGTAAGTGCCATACTATTAGTTTTAGGGAAATTTCGCTCTTTCACGTTAGCTTCGGTACGCTCCCGTCAGTAAGATTGACCCCAACTGCCCATGTTCGCGTTTATTTCAGATGTAACGTATCTTTACGTTATGATGGCTTGATTTAAGCTGCAAAGACAAAGCTACAAGCACGCTATTTATAGCTGTTGAATGTTGTATTCTGCCCAAGCCTGCCTTCGAAATAAAAACATAGATATGGAATGCAAATTTGAAGAATTGTATGGATGAAACTTAGAAATGAGTCGTGTAATTTTTCAATTAGTTCGTTCAATAAAAAAATTATTTTATTGGTTTTTGTTTAATATTATGGTTGTCTAATGGTACTAGTTCCATAAGAAATCAAATATATTTTCGCTATCTTAGAATTATGAATTATATTTATATATTTAAACCATACAATTTAGTTAAAAGTAGTTATATAATCAAAAGAAGTTAATTAATCAATAGAAGTTCAATAATATTTTTTTAAATAATAATAAGCTGCATTCCTTAGCACTGAATATATGAAAATCTATAATCTGCACATAGAATGTATAATGTCTGCACATAGAACCACAGTTTTGCGTAGAGTAATGCATTTTGAATCGTATGCCACAGCTTTAAAGCGATAGCCTACGCTCATTGCAAATGTTTGTATTTTGGTGGAAGTCAAAATGATATTCCACTACGTTACTGGGGGGGGGGGGTTCAACTTACAATTTTTTGAAAAATCTCTCATTTTCAATGACATAAGCGTAATATTTTTTTCACGGGTGGATGCGCATTTCACCAGAACTGTCGCGAGCACATGTCCAATGACTTGAAATCTTCCGTAAGGGAGCTAACATAAATTTGCGATATCCCCCTATTATTTATATCCTTTTACGTTGCATTGAGTCATAATTTGTTTGATTTTGAAAGTTTGTCCTATAAAAACAAAACAATCATATTTTAGAGCGTGGGATGTATATGTCCCAGTAGTCTTTTTTCATGGGTCATTGGTCACTTAAAAAGACAAATCGAACAGTCTTGGGATACCTTAATCGGATAAACATTTTATTGGTTTCGTAAATTAGGTTTAAATTGATTTTGACTACCACGTAGCACAAATAATTCTAAGGAAGCACATGACGGAATAATTTTATCTTCTGTTAAAACAGGAAAAAATATTTTGAATTAGTTTTCATTTCCCTGCAACGTTAAATATGAGAGATATGTTTAAATATTCTGTCTTATAAGAGACAGATGAACACATGAATAAAACAAATGTTCATTAAAGCTGGAAAATTTTGACGATTAAATAATAACTAAACTCACGTCCATCCACCAGTTCAGTAGTTATAGGTTGCAAGTTAAAGAAAAATCCTCCCACATATAGAGCTGAAGGATCTGCATTCACAAGATCGGCATCACCAACGCTCACTTTCTTTAAGCATCCGTAACTAAGAAAGAAAAGAGAAAAACAATACATATTACAATTACTTACGAAAAAAAATACCGATTTTTATCCTTTTCAATTCACCTTTCCAATACAAAAAAGAGTAAATGTTGGTTGTTATACGATTGTAAGTACTTAAAAATTAATAAATAAAGAAATAAAAATAGATCTAATTTTCGTTTGATGTAATGCGCAACCTACTGTGTACAAGCATTTTAATCAACGTACACATCGCACAGTAATTTGGTGACAATGTATAAACATTTATTTGGAGCGATTAATATTTGAATGAAGATCACTTACGAGGAACTTGACTAACGCACGAGTAGCGAAATATTTCATTCATACTTTTTCCGCTGATAGCCAAATGTTAATCTTTTTCGCTTTTTATTTTAAATTATAAAATACCATACTTCTAAGTCGTTGAATAATTTATTCGATTTCAATAATATACATACGTAAGCAATGATTTAGAATGATATATTTATCCATTTCTTCAATATTCATTTTATAATTATCAAGCAATTACAACTTTAATGAAGATAAAAATTTTATAAAAGGTATCGTTTAATCTTCTTGAATAAAATTGTCTTGTCATTATAAAGAAATGGAGTTGCCGAACATGTAACCAACATTTTTAAACATCATAAAAATTCTCAACATGCTATATATCGTCTTAATCTTAAAATAAATTTTTTAATTACTTGGCCTCGCGTGTTACGCAAGACTATTTTACAAGCCGTTCAATTATATTTCTTTCAATTTTAAAAATTTTTTATTCATTACGCTACCGCGAAGATTATTTTTTAATTATATACTAATCTAATTTTTTAGTATTTTAATTCATGTTTTTATTTAAATTAAACGCTCGTTTTTAAACTAGAGCCAAGCTCTTATTAAAAGAAAACTTAGAATTGTTAATAATTTAACTTTTTAAGAAATTGAAAACATTCTGATGCTTTAAAATTACTCGATGCATAACTGATGAACATTTACTTAGCATAATATTTATTTTTAAAAATGAAGATAAATTATTCATGTTTTTAATTGTTTCTTATTTATTCGTCTAATGAAAAGTAAATGCATACAACGCAAAAAATACAACAGGTTCCATTTTTTTTCTAAATGGAAACTGGAAGGTAAGGAAATTTTTAATTGAAAATTTTTAAATGGAGTGGAAAATTCGTGAATCACTGTTTTATTTTGACGTTCTAACTTATTCTCCCTCGCTTTCTAAAACAGGTTGCCCTTTCAAAAAATATAATGTTGAAATAATTTGATTGAAACAGTTGGTTACATTATTTCTCAACTTTAGCATAATTCCCAAAATATTGTTATGTTGGAAAAATGCTCGATATGCCATATTTTGTTCAATAGCGCACACTAAACATAGAAACTTGTAAAAAGATTCCAAAATCATGCTGTTTATAGTGCTGTTGAAATTTCAATTGTAGACGGAATCGCTTGACAATTTTAAAAAATTGTTTTTCAAATTAGCAGCAAAATCAAATGTACTGCACTGAATTTTTTAGATAGTTATGACTAATTTTATACTATTATTATTTTTTTAATCTTTCTATCTTACGTATAACTTATTTTAATAATACGTTCAGTATTTTAATTTAATATACCTTGTTACTAACTCTCAAAAAATGACATCACGAAGTTATTTATGTCTGGAGCGTCTTGAGAATGGATGCTTATTTTGAAGCACTCAAAACGTGTAAATTTTTATTACCATCTTCCTTTTTTGAATCAAATGTTTCGTGCGCTCAAAAAAGGAACCCATTCTCAAGATTCTTCAGATTGAAAAAAACGCACTTTTTTTTAAAAAAAATGGAAAATGAAAGTGAAAAAAATTAGGAGAACCACGGTAGCCGAGAGTAAAAAAGAAAATAAATATGCTGCCAGAGCAATCTTGACTACACCGGACAAATAGACGCGCTTTAAAATTTTAACTAAAGGAACATAGTAGATAAGTCCGTTATCAAGAATGTTATTATAATAATCGATTGCAGCACATTCTTGAAATCTTGGAGATAAATTTAATACCTTGTCGACTTTAGTTGCATCGGACAAAACGGAAGTGGTTTAAAATTTTGACTAAAAGTGCACAATATATCCATCATTAAAATTTGCAATAAATCATCGATTGAAACATATTTTTGAAATCCTGAGCATGAATTCCATTTCGATAAAGACAAAATTTTTACCACCCCTGTCACATCAGTTCATCTTGATAGCAGGGAAATCTTTTTTATTTATGATGAAAGCAGATTCCCTTGTTAACGATACGGGTTCCACGCCCACTTTGGTTACTGCTTGGGAATGCATTTTGCCCTGATTTGCCTCTCTTGGCCATTGCGGTTTATCTAGTCGTGTTTTTTTCCTTTATTTTCTATTTCACTCTCGGGTACTGCTGTTTTTCCAGCTTTATTTTTCACTTTAAATTTTCCTTTATCAATCGCAACTTCACATTTTCTATTTCAAATCACTTTTGTTTTCCTCATTCCCCGTCAGGTAAGTTTTAAGAGTGGACGTATATTTTTGAGCTCTCGAATTTTATCCTATTTTTTGAAGCCAATGAAATTTTTATCAATAAGTATTTATACTCGCTTACATTTCAGTTTCGATCATTATTTTAATCAGAATCTTATGCTCGTAAACATTTCATTCAATTATTTTAACTGTGCTCAGGTTGTCCTTAAGACTTTAAAGAAACTGTGCCATTAATATTGTAATTATGAAGTCATCTTTAGCTGTAAAATTAAGGTTTCGCCAGATATTTGGCGTTATCAAAATGGATCATTGGATCATGTGCTGAAACTAAACCTAATGAAATTTAACTTTGTAGTCTTGTTGCCCCCATTTAAATTTTTTAAGAACCTCTCTTTAAAAGGAGTCTGTTGTATTGATTGTGAGAATAGTAAAGTAAGTTTGTAATAAAAGGAATTGAGCAACAAAATTTTAGTAGTGATATTTGATAATACATGCAGCAGATCGTAATTCGCGATCGCAACGCTCGAGTACGCCGTCTAGCGGGAGCCTGNCCCCCCAAAAAATATCTGTTGCCTAGAAACTTCGAGATATTTTTCTACTATCTAATAAAAGATAAGCTTTTCCGAGCTAACTGAAAACGATGAATGAAAATGATTCAATTTTTATTTCATTATTTTTTATTGTCTTAACTTGGCAGCTTAGCACCGAAGAAACACTTAATATTTCTCTCTCGTCAAGCACATAGTTCGTTTAAGGTTATTTTAAATTGCACCTCTTATGTTATTTGGCTACTTTATTTTAGGCGATATTATTTGGCTATTTTATTTTTGGCTATATTATTTGCCTATTTTTGGGTAACTAAGCCAAATATATATAAATTCCTAACACCCAAATGTAAGAACCAATTTTTTCGAAATTTTGTCTACCCCCAATATTTTGGGGGTCAGGAATCCAAATATGTAAAATGAAATTATTCGTTTATTCAGAGATAGAGTGCCTGTATTGCACTCTATCTCTAGCTTACTTGCTAGGCACTCTATTCAGAGAAAGTACGTCCTTGTGTCTGATTTCGAAACTTAATTTATAGTTAATATTAATTCATTACAATATTTTAGTTGAGAACCTCCCCTCTTCAAACATTAAGATTGACACTTAGTACGTGAAAATCGGATCATTAGAACGATAGTTATTCGAGGTGGTCGTTTTTTTTTTTTTTTTTTTTTTTTTTTTTTTTTTTTTTTTTTNTTTTTTTTTTTTTTTAATTTTTTTTTTCGCGCACTGTACATTATGCATTATAGTATTCAATTGCACAAACTTTTTCCTTCGAACTTGAATGATTCCCCTTCAACGCCACAGGTATTCACGCTGTATAGCACAGCTAATTCTTAGAAAGTATCTAAACTGCACGTTTCAATAATCCATCACTCAATGACTTTTGAAAGAAATTCAAAAGACCTCTCTTCTTCAAGATTTTGCGATCCTTAAAGATGTTTGGAAAAAAAAGCGACTTTTAAGGAATAGTAGCGCATTAAATTTTAAATTAAAAAAAAATAATTTCGAAAATGGGAGGAAAACTTTAAAAAAGTTTTAGGGAAAAAAAAACGATTTCTTTCGACCTTTACTTTACAAATACTTATACTTTTTCCCAAAAAAATTTACGAAAAACAACTGAAATTAAGGAATTAAAAAAGTAACGAAGGACAAGTGAAATTATTTTACTTTTGTTACAAGTAACAAAAATAAAAGAAATGCAGCTTGCCATTAGAAGAAATGTAACTGCATAAAAACTTAGCAAAAAAGCAACTTCTGCAAAAGACTTTTTTAGCCAAATACAATTTAGCGAACCATACATTTTGATCTACTACTTTCGTTAATCCTTTGCAGTCGTATGTTTATTCGCAGCCGATAAACCTTTTTTACCGTTCCATACATGCATTTAGCCACGAAAGAAAAAAAATTGTTGTTGTTTCTAATACCACTAGCCGATATCAGCAAGCCTGCTTGGTGAAACCAAGCGAATTTAAGGCAGAGGGTGCGATTCTTGTTTTTTAGTGGTGCCATCTATGACCAAGAATACGACTTCAGCCACACACACGTCACAACCCTTTTATACAGCGGACCCATTCTTACATCCCTTCATTCATCCGCAGATCACAATTTTGACCTGAACCAGAGAACGATTCATCTCCATTTCAGTACTCCCAGAGGTATGATTTGTTATGGAAACATAAAGAACTTTGTGATCCGACAGATTTAACGTGCACCAGTCACCATTTACTACACGGGGAAACTTCAGCCCGCGGGACTGAACTCACCTCTTCGACACGAGCCCAACCCACCAGGCCCAGACTTAACTTATAGAAAAAAACTTGCTTATGTGTGTGAATGAATCTTGCATATGTGTTTTCAATGAACTCTTCCTCCTTGTTTCTTTCTGCAATCAAACAACAAACTTTGATTCATTTAGTCCTTAGTAGTGATTCATACGCTTCGTCGGTCCTCGTTCATATATTAAGTTGAGACCCTGTATATTTCTTTCGCTTCATACTTAACAGGAATTAGTGCCTAGTAAGGGTTGTCTTTGGGGAATACCCAGTATATGGGAAAATTCTCCGCATTTATAGTATTACAATTCGAGAATTTAATCCGTTTTTCTAGAATTATCCTCCTTTTCGGATAAAATATGCAAAACAACATTTCTAATTTTCTCCTCGGGGAACGTTTTTACACTGAGTATTTTATTTATTTTAAAAGAGAGAGAGTTGGAGAAAAACTTACGTGTCAGGTTGAGTGATACACGAGAATGTTTCAGGCAGATCGGAAGCCATTTCGTTGCATGCCGATGATAATGATTCCGGAACACATATCCGCACATCTGGAATGTTAAAAACAACATTTAATTCTGGANATTAAAAAAATGAAAAACAGTGGGAGGTTAAAATTGTTTAACGCTCGTCACCTACTTTGTTTTTATTATTAGCGGTTCCCTTTCATATTTCACTCCCCCAGTTATAAAAAGAGTTCCTCGAAAGACCTCGATGTCTTCTTTTCGAGCCCTCGAGGAAAGGTTAAATGTTGGATGCTTTTTTTAATTCTGCCATAACTTGAAAAAAAAATTAGTAAAATTTTTAATTAAAAAAATAATCGTTGATGTTGATTGATTTTGCGCCTTTTTGAAATAATGCGCCCATGGCATTCGCCATACTTGCCATACCCTAGATACGCCACTGTCTATAACATCTTATCCCCCTTTTTGGTGTAGTGCGCTCAAAACAACCCTTGTGACCCCTAACATTTTCTGATAAAATCGTGGTCTCGTTAAATATGTTCGCCAGAAGCAAGTGTGCAGTATGTGTGGGGATATGTCAATGAGTGTGCCTAAATTTTTTGACCTATTATGCATAAAATTATAATATATAAATATTTTATCTTTATTTAAAAGGAATTTTTTATTTCTTGTGAGCATTTTTACTTTGCAATTTTAAAATACAAACTATATTTAAATTATGCAAAAAAAAAATTTTTTTTTTATCTTTATTTCAAGGTGACAAGAAGCTTGAGAAAGCAACAAAATTGGTTTCAATTTCAATTTTACCAATTAAATTTAGATTTTTTTTCAAGAATGTTGGTTAAGAAGTTGAAAAAAAATATTTGTTGTCTCGCTAAGTTAGTTAAAAAGTAAATGTTCTGGGTGCAATACCAAATTTTAATTAAATTGGAAAAACCTTACTTTAAAGTGGTTACATTTAAGTGAATTTTAAATCAATTTTAACCAATCTATATTAACCAAGCTTCTGCACATTATTTAAAAAAAATATGCACATAAAATTGGATTTGGATTCTATTGGATCTTGTTTGACTTCGTCAGACAATTGGAGGATACGGAACAACAACAACAACAATGCACATAAAATGTTTGGACTTTTCATCTACTGAAAAGTTTATGCCTATAACACTGACCAGAAGCCGAGGTTGACCAAAGTCATGATTTTTTTTTCAATCACAAAATCGTATATATTTGATTTAATTCGGATTTTCCATTTATTTAAATGAGATAATTTTTAAATGTATCATCCAAAGCATTTGATAAAAGATTTCAATAATACTTAATTTTGTCTAAAAATAATATAACTAAAATAGTTAATATTTCTTACTAAGACGGATAAGATTATTATATTATTACATACTAATCACTGATTTAAAAATATCATAGTTATATTTTACAAGCTCAACTTGGTGATGATAGTTAGAAATCGGGAGACGATTCGTCTATTAAATACCCAATAAAGTGTAAATTAGTTTAGATAAGAAAACATTACTGAAAAAAAATTATGTCAATCTGGATTGAGCAAGTTTGATACACGATAACTGCATATTTAATGTGATATAAAAGCACTGCATTTTAATAAGCAAAAAACTAAATGGGTATAATTAAAACGAGTTTTTAGCCAGAAAATTATTTTAAATGCATTTAATGGAAAATTACAATGTAAAAATTTCATATCACTCTTATTCACGTTTAGTCTATTTTGAAACATAATACATTCCTTTCGATATTTCTTAGTAAAAAATCTTCATTATCAATAAAAGATTTTAGAAAATCGCTCCATGAGGAATTTATTTATTAATTCTATTGTATAATAATATTTTCAATTTAAATTATATATTTTTTCAATCGATATTTTTTTTAATCTGTCTGTTTAAACTATTTATTTATTTTTTATTATATTGCATTAAAATATCTTGAACTTAATTATTTTTTACTAATAAAATTAAATATTGTAGAAAATAAAGTTTTTTTTAAAAAAAAAATCACAGTTAAATTAAGTCAGTGATTTCTTTTTAAAAAAAATGATTTAAATCACGATTTTAATCATGACTAAAATTAAGTGATTTAAATTATGCCGACCCTGACAGAAGCGATCAGAAATTTAATCCAGTATACTTTTTATTTAATTTATGATTAATCATAAAGAAAAACATTAAAATCAAGTTGAATAATTTCGTCCATTTTTCTTTTTTTCCCGTTTGAAATGATTTTAAACTAATTCTTTCTTCGTTATTTATTGTAACTTCGTAGTAAAAAATTTGTGTGTATATATAGCGTAATAACTAAATACAAAGAGGACAAAATGAAAAAAAAAACACAAAGAAAATTAAGAAAAACAATAAGTTTTATTTGCGCACATAAGCTGCAAGTAAATAGAGCTCATAAAATGAGTTCAAAATATAGAGAAAACATAGAAGAAATTATAGAACAATGAAAAGAAAGGAGGAGGGGGGAAGAAAAATAATAATAAAAATAATAAGAAATCGGAAAATTATTATAAAATTATAAAAATTATGTAAATTAACAATAACAATTAACCCAACGTAATTAAATTCTATATAAAATCAATGAGTTAATTGTATATTATTGTAATTAAATTTACTAAAAAATTTTCTTTGTTAATTTATATAATTTTTACCATGTGCGAACCCATGACTAAAATTATGTGTAAAACAGGCAATTTATGTTTCTTTCTCCTTTCTATTTTTTTTTCTTAAATAAATGTTGATTTCTAAAATTATTAATTGACGACTTCTTTAAATTATCCAGTATAATATTACCTTGCGCACATCCATTTTCGGCCCCATCCTTAGTAACTAACAAATCAAACGCACTTCAGTACTGCAATAAGAACGCACTTTAATACGAAATCCCTCTATTTACGCTTTTACCTCAATCTGCGTTTTTGGTTTTATAGTTTGCAATCTGGCAATCTTATTAAGAAAATATTTTAAATCATTCTTGAAAAATTTCCCGTTCATGTAAGTTCATTCGAATTCGCTACGCGCTTAAGTATCAAGGGATTGAAAAGACACAAAAGCTTAGCAGTATTCTTTTAATTATCAATAATGAATAGAATCTCTCGGATCATTCATAGTAACATCATAATAAATAATGGTTTGAATCATTTCCTGGAGACTATTCATTGTCACTGGAAAAATATCTGTTTAGACTCAAAATTGTTTTTGGAATCAATTTGGAAATTTCAGTCACTCTATCGGAAATGGGTGTTAAAATAACATTGCGTCTATAAAATAACATTAAATGCATAAAATAACAATAAAATAGCAAGCAATTCGGTCGGTGCAAAGGAAGGATCGCAGTAATGGAGGTCGTATTAAGGAGCGTAGACTGCATATCGGAGATATGTGAATTGTCGCTTTACATTTAATTATAAAAGAAGAGATTAGTAAATTAAGATTGTATAACTTAATCTCATTTTAATTATAGAACGAGAGACTAATCCATTTGCGTAACACATTATACAATAATGAAATTTTCAGAGAACTCAAATTTTATTAAGATATTCTGCTTACCCTTTATACAATAAATGTGTTATAAAGAAATTACACATCCGTAGTTTTGCACACAAAAAATTAAATATTGAAAATTTTTGCCTTTCATAGAATAGGCCCATTCATACAACTACACAGATCACAATTATGACCTGAAATATCCACTACCCCCAGAGGTATAATTTGCTATAAGAACATGAAGGACTTTGTGACCCGACAAATTTAACATGCACCATTTACTACAGGAGGATCTGGATTCGAACTAGAAAGCGTTCAAATACATAATTTGAATTTTAAAAAAAAAAATATTCTCTCATTTTACACGACTTCAAATAATTTATGAATGTGAATTTAATTTTTATAAGGTGCCGCCCCTTTCCTGTATTTATCTTCATTTCATTTATTTTGAGATTATTATAGATTTCCATCAACGGAAACTCTCGAAAAGTGCGAATTTTAAATTAAAGACATTCATAATACAAACGCTATTTGTCTATTCAAATGAATGTAAAATTTTTTCATTGCTTTCTTATAAAAATGGTAGGTTCAGAATTATATTTTTATTAATATAACGAATTCTTAACACATCCAAAGCTGGACAAGTTTTTTTCTTTTCTATTTTAAATGCGCATTAATTGAAAGCTAAAATGATATTATCGTGAATACCACTCTCATTTTTTTAAGCAATATCGGCCTTTTGTTTACCTTTGAAATTATCAAGTATATTTATAAGCTATTGAATAGTGTGTTTAATACAATAGTACTTTTTTCATACAAAGAAAGCATATACAGTTGCACTCTCAGGGAAGATATTTTTTGCGGTATTTGTGTCACTCAATTCCGACAACAGAGCAGAAACTGATTTATTTTTGCCATCATTTATAAACATAAATACATAATTTTCAGATTATATATGTGTTTTATTAATTTTTATACTCTAAAGGTTAAAGTCCTTTCCTTTCAAATCGCATTCAATAACAAAAGTGACAGTCGACAGCTACCTAAAAAAGGAACTTAGCTTTGTTGCAAAGCTTTCTTCAATATTTTATTCCCTTTTAATTTGAAACGGCTGTTTACGAATTAACAATGAATGTTTCAGTAAAAAATGAAGTTGCTCACCTTTTAATATCTTTACCGGATCTAAGTTTTGAAAACTTAATCCTCTAAAATTTAAAAGCAATAGGACTAAAGTGTGTGTGGGGGGGAGGGGGGGAGAAACGTTTCAATAAGACTGACAATGAAGACGCTTGGAAGTAAATTCTAAAACAAAAAACATAACGAAAAAGGAAAAATATCAAATTAATAAAAGATCTGCCAGTTTTCGATCGACAAAATTCTTAAAAATATGGTCGTTTCTTAATTTCACAGGCATAAATTATTAACTGATTATTTCCTTTAGAGGTTAACTCGCATTGACGTATCATATGAATTACTGCAATTTGAGCCGTGATGGCTCAGGGGATAAAGCGTTCGCTTTTCAATGAGGTGGTTCCGGGTTTGAATCTCAGCGATGGCTGGTCGTTGCGAATTCAGCACCCGGCTCGCACCGACCACAGTGCTGAATTTCAGTGGTAGACGGATCATGGGTTAGAGTCCCCTCGCGATCATGCTAAACGTGCGAGATTTTCCTCTCCATGTAAAGCAAGTGTGGGTTAGTTCCATCAAAAAGTTCTCTATGTAGGCAAATATTTCTCCCAATCCAGGAGTTCCCTTATCTTCTGGATAGGGTTCAAAATGACAAGTCTACGGAGTTGAACATTAGTAGTCCTAAAATTGGGTCGGCTGCTCAACGACGGTTATAAAATAAAATAATATTACTGCAATGTAATCTCAAAATGGGGAGTCATTTCAATACCATTCTATAATTAATTTTTAAAATAGTTTTGAAACACTTTTTTTTATCAAATGGGATAAAAATCTAGATTTAGGTTTTTTTTTAAAATGTAAAATTTCTGAATGCATAAAATGTTTTAATATCTTACAATTCAAAAAATTTTTCCATCATTAACAAATTAATTAATAAAAATTATTTAATTCGTTGAAATTACCCATTTATCTGTCATTGGGCAGAGAGCATTAGAAATATACTGATTTATGATTGATTAACGTTCGTGAACAAGCTAAGGAGAAATGATATTTTTGGGAGGAGCTACAAAAAAACGTAACAAAAGGCAATGCCGAGAAATTCAATCAGAGAGCTCAAAATCTCTTGGGGATATTGTAAAGATGTAAAGGTAGTTTACACGCACCCGGTTCACCTCATTGGAAGGCGAGGGCTCTATCCCCTAAGCTACCAAGGCTCAAGTAAAACATTTACCGCTAAATGAAAAACAAATTTAAATAGAGTAAAGTGTTTCCATACTTTTATCTTTCCTCGCCTTTGGCGCAATAACTTAAGATGAAGTGGCAAGTGCCGAAAGGCAGGTACCACGTGAAAATCCACTACATTAAAGCATTAAAGTGCTTTCTCAGTGTACTTGTGCTTTTTGCGTAGAAACACAAGTACAGAAAGGCTCCAGCACGTTGGTATAGACAGTGCGTCCCCTGATGAAGTGCTGTTTTTGCTAACATACATATCTTTAAAATTTCGTTTTGCTTATTTTTGGTTTCTAACTTTTGATTTAAATCGTTTACATAAGACAAATTTGATTTTAGCTGCTTTTAGCGCTTTTCTATTATTTTTTTCCATCATGTCTTATTATTTTAAAGTTTTGTCCCAAAACTTATGATTATCTTGAAATTTGTTTGAATCAATTTTATACTTTGATTTGATTAAAGCATAGTAAATTCACAAACATAGTTATTTTATTTATTTACTTTTATTGTACGAAAGTCATTTTTACTTTATTTTAGAAGTAAGAGCTTTTCTACTTATTTAATATTATTTTAACTAGCTATTTTTTGTATTATGATACTATCAGACGATATTTTGCTTTGTATGACTGCGCGTTAGAGTCAACAAGAGATCAACGTCGAGTTTATCAAAACAAATAGGTAAAGAGGAAGATAGTTTAAGATTTAATCATAGGGTGCGGATAAGGAGAAAAAACCTTACCATCAAGCATTTTATCCTGGCATTATCAAATTGATTCTGCTTTTAAAACAAATAATAAAAAAAGTAGTAAATGAGTCGAACATAATTGGGAGTTATCGAGGAAAAATTAAGAAGCGCTAGTAATGTTAAGATAAAATATTACATTTTATTACATTTTTTCCCTACAAGAATAATTTAATAATTCTAAGTAATTATATCCAACTTCAAGGATTTGATTTTTAATTCCAAATTAAATCTAATTCTAAAAACCTTTAGGCTTCATCTCTTAAAATATTGACACATTGATAAAGTAAATTAAAATATTTAAGATTAGACCCATTAATAATGCCTTGCAGTACATGCAAATTATCAAAAGTTATTAGATTTTAAAGACAAAAATATCTTTACTTTACTTACATTGAACATTCCGATTCCTCCCCCCCCCCACCTCGAAAAAATGCGATCGATTGAATGGACGAATGTATTAGAAAAAAATATGATCCATTTAGCTTTCAGCACATAAAATCTCTAAGTCGCAATTATTTTCGCTGAGTTTGTAAATCATTAGTTTCGAAAGTTTTAAAATCAACTAGAAGGTTACTTTTTTAAACCATTCGAACATAGCGTCTTTTAAAAGATCGGTTCTTTTTTGAGAAGAGAGAAAAGTGGTCGCACGAGTGTTTAAAATTAAAATTTAGTAATTGTTGTCTACCGTAATATATAAAGGCAATATTAATCCATTATATTTGGATCTGAATTATAACCTCAGTTCTTTTTCAAATCTGTGCGTTAGAGTCAACAAAAGATCAACGCCTGTGGTAGAAAGCGGAGAGAAATATACAAATGGTATAATTATAAGCAAATAGTGTTCTACCACTTTTTCATATTTATTATTTAGGATAACTTTTTGAGACATGAATGGGTTAACATCCAAAAACTTACTACTCATTGCTAAAATTTAATAGAATACTTGGAAAATAATTTTATGTCAATTGTATGTCGAAAAATTAATTCCTCTCTGCCTATATTACACAATTTTTAAGAATTGTGTTGATATCAACTTTTGTTATTATTTCTTAAAATAAAATGACAGGTTTTGAAAATGAATAAATAGCGTGCAACTATGTTTACTTACGCTTTGCGTGCGCTGCCGAAAAAACTGTTAACAGGATGATCCAAAACATGACCGTGAACTGAATTGACTTAAAAGAGAAATAAGCCAGACATCGATAAGAATATTCGTCTTCTATTTAAATATAAGTAACCTCGAATAAAGGTCAAGACTCATTGGGAAACAGCGAGTGGTGTGTCGTCAGGAACAGGTCAACCCAGATTCCTCACTATTCTAATTCCCCCCCCCCCTCTTACTTTCTAAGAGAAAGTGTTTGTAACCCATAATCCAGCATCTTTCTTTATTAATGTCGAATATACGTGTTGAAAATAAAATTTAAAATAAGTTACCTCTTCATTAGAATAACCTATGCTAACATCAAAACCAGTAAGAGACATCCTCCATTTATGAGCTATTATACTAAATATGTAGTACTTATGCTGTTAAACATGAAATTATATTATAAATATAATTACACATTATAAGTATGCTATTGCTAAAATATGTACCATTTATTACTATCACTTCACAAAAAATGATCATTTTAAAGACATACATCACGTGCCCTCTTCTTTTCAAAATCGTATGGATGAGAAAACAACGATAAAGGAAACTTGAAATATAAAGATAATAGTGAAAAATACACTTAACTCTTCAGGACTCTACCGATGTGTCATCAAAATATTACCTCCCTAGACACCTGCTTTAAATGCGATTATTACTTAAAACAAAGTAAACTCACAAATGCGATTAAAAAATGGTCTTCCTAAAAATAAATCCATTAAAGTTTATTATATTTGTTATTTTTAATTGATATAAAAAAAATACAAATTTTACTTTTTAGCTTTTTTTGCATATTGTAGGATATTTTTCATCATGTTCACATTTTTGTCAAAAAAACAAAATCTTCAATTGGCGATCGAAATGGGCTACAGTTGGCGTAAGAGAAGAACTCTATGGCAAAACGCATGCTTTCACCATTAGCGAATGGAAGAGCCATAGAAGAAAAAAGTACGTTAGTTTCAGTCTAGCTTTTCAAATAGATTAAAAAACGTTGGGAAACTTTATGGAACTGAAAACTAAATTGAACATAGTTTTAAAAGAAAACACCATGGAAATTTAAAAGAAAATTTATACATTTTTAGCAATTAATTGATTCAGTTCTTGCTAAACTACTTAGACCCAAACGCCCCTTTTTTTTAAATCCTTACAGAGAACTTATTACTTTACCGTTTTCTTTATCTCGTTTGTTATGTTAATATCCTCTCCCGGTTTGGTTTTTAAGTCCTTTTCAGACCTATTAGTTTTGATAATCTCTGGCACTTTTATATAGTTTGTCTACTGTAAGAAATCCCCCCGCCATAAAGTCTGAGACCATCTGCAGCTATGGAAACAAGAATAGGGCATTTCAGGGAGGGTAGCTCCTGTTCAGTCTAGGGCTAACACAATAGACCGAAGGAAAAGATTCCCTTTCTCTCGCAGACCCGAGCCAAAACTTGCCCTAAACAATGACACCACACCCCTACTTGAAATAGTTATACCTCGTTACTATAGTCACTGCCACAGGTCACGACGAATGGTTAGGGAAGTTCTTAATTTAGACAAACTATACCACAGCCCTTGTCACTACGACTTGAAGGTTACATTGGGCAAACTAAAATCGCTTTAAAATTGGGTTTTAAGGAACACTATAGATATGTCTGTTATCAAGAATTCGAAAAATATTCAATTGCTTCACATTAATGGAATCATGGGCATAAATTCAATTTCGACAATGCTAAATTATTTCCAGCTCATCTTGATACTCTGGAATCTTATTTTATTCGTTTGGATGTTGATCGCTTTTAAGGATATTAGTTTCTTCCCCTCTCTCCATAACGAGTGGAAATACATTTTTCCTGATTTACCTCATGGCCTTATCACCCTCGGCTTCTGTGATTTTCCCAGTTCTTGTTTCTTACATTTATTTTTCGTTGGTAACTTTACGTTTTTACAAATCATTTTTGTTTCATCTTGAAAATGGAAGCCGATTATTGATACGCTTGAAACGTGTCGACAGTCTTTTCATTTTTGAAACTTACGAAATTTTCAATCAGGCAATATGAATATGGTAACGTATATTTATGAACTACTGCTTTTAACTAAATTAAACTCAGTGGCGCGACGGCCCATAGAGGGCCAAGACCTACTGTGCCCATCTCAGTTTTCTTGACCTTCGGCTCTGTGGTGCAGGAGCAGACGTTCCGGTTAGGTGGTCAGCCGAATGCGAAACCCCCAGTGTTTAGTTCCCAAGCATGCTTGGTACTCATTTTATCGATCCACTGAAGAGATGAAAGGCTGAGTCAGCCTTGCCCGGCCCGAGGATCGTAAGCAGGACCTGTGGCACGAGAGCGCTATCCTTTAAAAAAGAAAATCAGGTAGAGAAATATGTACTGCAAATTATAATATAAATATGTGTACAGTACCGCTCAAAAGTATCAGTACACCTAGAAACTTATAAAAAAATGGCAAAATTCAAAGTGTCATAACTTCTTTAAAAATGATCAAAAATGCTTCTGCTTTAGCTCATTTTGAAGCTTAAAATCTCTACTTTTATGTACTCTAATTGTTTTTAATTAATATATTTTGCAACTATGCACAATTACACTCTAAACAATCATAAAAATTGTATTAATTTTTTGTGAAGTTTGACGCGATGTACGGGCACAAAGGGGTTAGATATTGTTAATTTTTATTATACCACTGAAAAATTTGGACTTTTCGCTTTCATTTAAAGAAAAAAAATTCCAAAAAAAAACATGTTTTTTGACAAAGTTATTGTCGAATAAAAAAAAAAGGTTTTCTTTCAGAATTTAATGATTTTTCAGCAATTATAATGAATTCCGCACAGGAACTATTTAGGTTCGTCCTCCTACCTTCGGTCTTCGATCCATTAACCAGCATAAATCATATGTGGAAAGTCCTTAAAGAGCAGTGGCGAAAAATAGACAAGATAACATTAAAAAAGCTGATTGATCGGATGCCTCGAGTGTGTGCTGCAGTTATAAAAGCGCGGGGAGGATATTTTGAAGAAAGCAAAATATGATGTAAAATATTTTTTCATTATTACATTTTTGTTTTCAAATTTTTTCTGAGAAAAATACGAAAAAATAAATTTCAAAATATTAAATTGTAAACGTTGATTCTTATTTCATTATTATATTTTCCAAAAAAAAAAGTTAAAATTGTTATAATAAATTATGAAATAATATTATCGAGAAATATTAAATTTTAATTTATTTTAATTAAAAAATTTTCATATCATATTATAATTACACTAAAATTCATTATAATTGCTGAAAAATCATTAAATTCTGAAAAAAAACCTTTTTTTTTATTTGACAATAACTTCGTCAAAAAACATGTTTTTTTGGAATTTTTTTTTAAATGAAAGCTAAAAGTCCAAATTTTTCAATGGTATAATAAAAATTAACAATATCTAACCCTTTTGTGCCCGTAAATCGCGTCAAACTTCGCAAAAAATTAATACAATTTTCTATGATTGTTTAGAGTGTAATTGAACATAGTTGCAAAATATATTAATTAAAAGTAGAGTACATAAAAGTAGAGATTTTAAGCTTCAAAATGAGCTAAAGCAGAAGCATTTTTGATCATTTTTAAAGAAGTTATGACACTTTGAATTTTGCCATTTTTTTATAAGTTTCTAGGTGTACTGATACTTTTGAGCGGTACTGTATATATATTTTTTTTTATGTCAATGTGAAATGGATGGTCGACTGAATGTAAACAATAACAAGCTTCTTAAAACCAAAACAAATTAAGAAAACTTCCAGTGTATCACTCCTCAGCTTATGTTGTGCTTACGAGGTGATGTGTGAGCAGGCTTAATATTCTAGGTAGTTTCATGTTTAAATTTAGGCTTAATTTTACCATTCATAAGAGTTTATTCTGTCATTTCTAACAGGTCGTGAGCCTAAAACAGAATTAACATCACAGAATAAAAGAAGGTTAGGTTAGCCGTGTTATCCTTCGTTTGGCTATGAGACCGTTAGTTATTTTTTTTTTTTGGATAGCATCATAGCAAGTTTGCGGATTCTTCCAAATTCATTTGTTGTTAGTTTCGTTGAAAATTAGATTGAAAGAACGCGTTATATTGAAAACACTACAAGTATAATAATATTGGATGGTGCGTTTTTTCAAGTTTAGGCGTAAAAATCAGTCGGAAGTAGTAACCCGGAAATCTTTCAATGAATTTTATCCCCTAGTGCTCTTAGCTTTACACGGTCAACCATCCATAAAACCATCTCATTTAGGGTTGCCAGGGGAAGCATATTACAAAGTTAGTAGTAAAATAATAGTAAAAAGTCAGGACGAATATTCCAAAAATCGCCAACATTCAGAAGCGTCACTATCCAAATAACAAATTTGTATGTCTGAATTATTATTTTGCTAGGGTAGAAAGACAATTTGTTTCAAACATTATCAACCATAATTATACATTAAAACATAAATGTAGGCAGAAAAAGTGGACCGGTATTAATTATAAACAGCTTTTAACAGCATTTTTCGTGTAAATATTATATATATATAAATTTTAAATAAATTCGTGTTTTTTATACATCTTTTAGAAAAAGGAAAGAAAAAAGGAATTATGGTTTTCCTTAATTCCAAGTAGAAATTGTGAAAGAAAGATTTGTTTGGAAATTCCCTCTTACCAGATTGCACTATTGTGGAACACTTCTCACTATCTACAAAATAATTCTTAAGAACTGCTGTTTCACGCGATTTCTTCGTATGTGTCATCACACTAAACAAATAAAAAAGAACTTCTCCAAGGTTACAGGCACCAATATTCATCTATTAAAATTATATCAGCTCTAATACAATTCAATAAATTACGTTTTTTTTATAATTGTTTTAACTGTTCATCATTTTTCCTTCTTATGAATGTGCTTACATATTAAATCTACTGCTAGTGGGAAGAAAAAAAAACGCGAAACTTTTGTTTTAAACATTAACAACCACTGAATAAAAATAAGCCACTAAAATAACAACTTCTGCTCTCTTGATAGCAGACATTAAATTCTTGCAGGTAAAAAAAAAAAAAAAAACTCGCTTAAAAACAAATTAAAAAAGAAGACTAATTTAATACAAAATATTTTTAAATAATAAAATACGGAAACTATGTTTTTTTT